ATGACAATGAAAATGTACCAGTTCTGATTTGCTCTCCAGAGCCCAGTAACAGTGGAACACGGAATCTGTTGTGTATTATAAATAACGAGCACTTTGGTTAGCTGTCTTGTTGTGGTGTTGATTTTCTGGAACAGACATCTAGTTAGTAGAAATCACATGATAAGCAACATGTTTTGTATGCACTGAATGTTGAGCTGAGGACAGATTGCCAGGGCAGCTGTAGAGCAGTATGTGTGTAAACCCTCAGACAGAAGGCATGACAAGAAAATGCCTGGGCTGAGCAGTGAAGATGGCCTGGTTGCTGTGGGCCTTATTGAAAGTGGTCTGTGTGTGAGAACTCTGTTGTCCTGGCCAAATGAGCCCACTTGGGTCTTTACCAATCGTGGTCTCCTCATAACGCCCATCTATCAATTGGTTTCATTACTCTGTTCTCCTCCCTACTGATGGCTGGTTTGTGGTGAGAGAACTGGCACACTTTGACTGCCGTTAAAGAGCTTTGAGTGGACTCAAAATGAAAATGATGTTTTTTCCTTATGGGTCAGTTTATATGTTTAATTTTAAAAATAGCTCTATATATTTTTAAGGTAAAATAAGTACTTTTCTTATAGTAAAACGTTCTCCAACTTCCTATCAGAGTCAGAGTGACCAAATGGCTTTCGATATATAGCCTTTTAAAAATGTACCTGACATTCACCCATAAATTACCCATGTTAAAATGTTTTATTGTGCAACTTGTGATCTTTTGCGGTGGCTGACTTAAGAAAGCATTGTTGTGAAAAGAATGAGGAAGGTTGGAGAACGCGGGCGCTCATGTAATTTGTGGTCTCCACCCAACGGAAATCCTCCTCTCTGTCTGGCCAGTGGAGCTACAGCAAGCTCTCTCACTGTGGATGGAGCAGAACCTGGAGCAGGGGCTGCTGGAGTTACTGCACAGTCTTGTGCCCTGCCCTCTCTGCTCACACTTTCTCTCTGGGTTTAGTGCTTTCCAAGCTTTTGCTTAGCAGTTTTCTCCAGTTTGTTGTAATTACTGGAAGTTCAAACTGTTTTAAGATTCCCAGTGGGAGGGCATGAATAAGAACACACTCTTTATTACTAAACATCGACGTTTTAGAGATTTCACATTTCTGTAAAGACTAGACCTGGGCATATAATAACAATTCCTTTCACTTATACAGTACTTTTCTAGACAATACTCTCAAAAGAGATTTAGAGGTAATGGGACTCCCCTCCACCCCCACTGATGTGTAGCCCCACCTGTATGATGAGAAGGCAGCCAAAGTATGGTAGTACACTCACCACTCTCCAGCTATCAGTGGGGAGAAGAACAGAGTGATGAAGCCACTTCAGAGATGGGATCATTAGGAGGCCATTATTGGTGAAAACTGAGGGAAAATTTGACAAGGACCCTGGGGTAACACCCCCTACTCTTCTCGAGAAATGCCCTGGGAATTGTAATGACCACAGAGAGTCAGGACCTCAGTTTAACATCCCATCTGAAGTACTGTGCCTTTTTTTTTACAGCTGCTGGAAGAGGTGTTAGTAGTACCAGTAGGGAGCATTAACACATCATCCAGCAGAAACCTTAGCTTTCCAAGCAGGTCTCCCATCCAGGTACTGGCCAGACTCACACCTGCTGAGCTTCAGTGGGTGAAAAGTGTGAGTTGCAGAGTAATATAGACCAGTAGCGTATCCCCGGGTCCCAGTTTCTTGCACTAAAGGACATGTCTTCAATCACAGAGATGTCTTTTTTTAAAATGGGTGTGGTTCACAAAGATGGTTTGAGACGACGTGATTAGATTTGTAACGGTGTCACATGGCCCAGATACTGTCATGGTAAGGAGCACAATGTTTTGCTTCAGTGTGTAGAGTCGGAAATCTCCTATTTTTAAAATTTTTGTTCCTTTGCCAAAATCAAATTGTTTCCATGAGTTAGCCCAATGCGCTTGATAATGTTTTTCTAACGGTTAGGCAGACCCAATAGCTATCAGGTAAACTACAGTGCTCTTAACCTATTATAAAAGAAGCAGTGGTCTCTGATGTACATTGCAGTCCGGGTTTTCCGGGTGCACACGTTTCCAGATTCATTTCCCAAACCGTTCGTCTGGAAAGAGCTCCCAGTCACCGTTGTGATGTCACCCCAGGCCGCAAACCAATGGGGATCTCCACAACGGCACAGCTGAGCTTCCTTTCCTTCTTTGGGATTTTCGCTCCTAGACGATGGCGCTGACAAATGAAGCGATGTCCTCGAGACCTCACGAAGTGTTTAGCCACAATAGCTTTTCACCCGTGGGGCAGAGCAACTCGCTGTGCCTTGACACAGTGGAAATCGTTTGTGTTGCAATTTGCTGTATCCCCCAGAGGCAGTCAAAGACAACAGGGCTGTTTAATGTTTTTTTCAGTCTGTTCCAAAGATATGACTTATGGGTCCCCGGACTGCGTCTAAACTTAGCTCTCTTCTGAACAAATACTTTTTGGACTACTGGAATTCCAAAAAACATCATGTTTAATTTAAGGTTGGGAGCACATAGCTTGTTTTTCACATTCCATTGAGGCTTCTTGAAGAGAGCGTGGGGGAGCTGGTGGGGTTTACCTTGTCCTGCGGCTCGGCAGCACGATTACAACTTCATTATTCGTGACGAGCTCTGCGGGCTCTTCAGTCACATTTCCCTTGCAACTTCTGAAGTCGTCAATCTCCATGCGCAGTCAGTTTCCACAGTAACATTTCATGTGCGTTTTGCTTTTATTAGCTGGGCTCACAAAGGCAATTTAAATGGCCCCTGCAAAGCATTTCACAGGGCAGCCTGTTAAATTGGAGTTACCACTGAAATTTGGACCAACAGTTCATTTGGGGCCTAAGGTTGTGTGTTTGTGAGCCTTTCCTGATGTTTTGAATTAATGGACACCAATGGGTTTACATTAGTGGGGATGAATCCTTGGCACTTTGTTATTAACAAGAACTTAATCATAAAGGAAAGGAATTATATTCTGTCTGCATGCTGTTAAACATTAATGGGATGGGAGTTCAATAGCTGTTACCTATATTTTAAAGAAAATGTATAGCATTTCTATCAGACATTTTGATGCAGTGTGATCAAGAAAAGTCCAGAATAAAAGGTATTTACACAAAAAGATTGTGCAAAGAGAATTGCCTTACTTTTTAAAATGTATTTCCTGACAGTGGGATGTGTGGTTTATTTTGAGTTTACAGAATGTTGCAGATAACGTGTGCAGTTTGCTGTGTTTAAAGCTTTCTATACATGTACTGTAGAAGCACTGAAACAGAGAGGAAATGACCAGCAAACTTGTTTCTGGACCGTGTTTCCTAGCTGAAGAAAGATAATTAAAAGTCCGAGACGGGATGGGTCATTTCCTGTATTGCTGAACTATGACACTGACATCAAACTTTTTTCCCTAACTAGTAGATTTTGCACGCTGGGAAGTTTAGAGAAAGTGTCAGTTGTCACATTTCCCTTTTAATGTACAGTATATATACATTAGCATATTGTTAAGCAGTGTACAGACTGCAAACTAGCATGAATTAAATTTGATTTATTTCAGTCTAAAATGTGCACAGGTGAGAGTGTGTAATCGTTTTTTGTTTCATTATTTTCTATACATTCCATTTCAGATCTTGTATTTCTAGTAATAACACCTCAGCCTTTTTAAAGTTTTGTTCTTAACACTTTGAAACTTATCACTTTGAGTTAACCTGGGCATTCTAAAGAATAATTATCATCAAAACCATGGGTATTCATTGTCATTTTTATAAAGCATTTTAACAACTGTAATCTATCCATTTAATCTTACATTTTCATACTGTAGGATTGCAGTTTGTCATAGCTACTTATATATATACTTGTATATACCTTTTAGGATGGCAAATCCACAGATGTTCCTCTACAGTCTAGTCTAATATTTAGGGAATACGTTTGAAAGAAATGTTACAATACTGTTCAATAACGCCTGTTTAATAATTTAATTGTTTAAAACAGCTCTAATATTGCAGCAACACATGCTAGCAGCAAAGCAGAAATAAGAGGCATCTTCTTACAAAAGAGTGGTCATCAAGCAGGTAATCTGCTTTAAGCTGAAGGTAGTGAGTGTGGATACGTATTTGAAAAGCATACCCCCAAAAAAGTAAGTTTAAGTGAAAAATAGGTTGCTTTTAGTTGTCTTTAGCAATTTATACTGTCATTGAGTGGTATGAAGTATTTACATTTGTTTACTTGTAGAAACAGTCTCTTCTTTGATCCAAACATCAATACCGCTTCAGTGATTCTAGTTAAGATTATTTCTTAATCACCCTTTTGTTCTAAGAACATTTTTAGCTCTGGGGGAATATGTACACATTATGTGTACACAATTATGATTGTTCTTTGAGTCTCGTTTGCCAAACAGCCATCTCTCACCATTCTGTCAATTCTGAATGCAGTTCTAGTGGCTAGACAACAGCCTTCAACATGCTGAAAACATATACAGTATGTGTATGTGTAGCGTCATCATTATGAGAAACAGAATTTTGTTTGTTTGGTCATTTTTTTTTGTATGTTTTCAACCATATGAGCAGGTCACCAGGAATGTGTGATAGGTTAGGAGAGGTGGGCAGTATGAAGCAGAAGCTTCAAGAAGCATTGAGACTGGGATGTGTGGACAATTACTGTTAAAGCCCAGAAATCCATCAGCTGGATTGAAGCCATTTGCTATGTGCGCTTGCTTAATTGGACAGGTTTTCTTGTGAGTTCTTATTTACTTGTTTCACCTTGTAATTGCATCACACACTTTTTCAGAATTCAATTCAGGGTAAAACCATCCTGATTATCTCTCTCCCCGTGCCAAGCGAGCGGCGGTGAGGTGCATCCCTTCTAGTCCGAGTCTGTGAAGCCTCACAGTGCAGCTGGCTGGCCTTGCTTCGTGTGGAAACTCTTCGCGACACCGTAGCGAAGGCTGCTGCTGTTCTGAAAGTGGTGGAACTGAAAGTCTTGTCTTTTTTTATCTTGCAGGATTCCATGAACGCCTTGGTTTTAGATTTGGACTTCCCTGCCCTTAGGAAAAACAAGAACATAGAAACATTTTTAAACAGATGTAAGTACTTAATTGAAACCTGAACAAGACTGGCTTTGTTACTGTCATACTGTTAACTGTTATTAGGGTTTTAACAGGTTTTTATCTACAAGATGCTGAACGTTTTTTCTTGACCTGCTCATGGTTATTAAACATGACGCGATTGATAGGAAGGCGTCATCTTATGTTGTTGCAGCAAAAATTAATTTCAATCAGTTTTTGCTGCAAACGCCAATGCCTTCCACTAAGTTACAGGACCCCATTGGAAAAACGAGATGGTGCATTTCAGTATATGTGATGCATGATTTCTGAGGGTGCCAATTAATGGCACATCATTTTGGGGCCTAATCTTCATGAACAAGCTACTGTAATTGTGCTCCTTGAGTGCGTTTGTGTGTGCCCTGCGGTGGACTGATGTCCCCTCCAGGTTGGGCCCTACCTTGCAACACCTGTTGCTTGCTAGCATAGGCTCTGGTTCCTCCGAGACCCCGCTCTGGATGAAGTGGTTAGAATATTGATGGATGGATGTTTTGACCTTTTTCTGTGGCTGAGAGTCTCAGAGGAAAGCAGTCGGGCGGGAAAAGAAAAACAGTTTATGGAGCTATGAAGTGAAAGATTTATGAATGGGGAATCTTGTTTTCCAAAGAATGTGAAAATGTAATGCCATTACCTTTTGCTACAGCTACTCTGTTTTTTATGTGAGAACGTCATCAGCTGTACCTACATGCTCAGCATACTTTCACTTCTAAAAATGAGCTTCCCACTTTCCAGATATTAAATGCTCAAATGTATGCAAGTCAGTTCAGGGTAACAGCAATCTAGTTTTAGAGCATTTTTACTTGATAAGAAGGGTTACAAAGGAGAGGAGGCCTTTTAACCAATCTTAAATAATTTGGTAGTAAGTAGTTAATTGATGCAACATTCTTGTTCAGTTGTTTTTTGAAAGAAACCAAGCTGAGTTTCAACAAGCTGAGTAGCCTATCCCATAATCCCACAGAAGGATGTGGCAGATGGAGCATTGCGTTCTTTGATTCTGTATTGTTAACTAACAAATTCAGGATTTTTTTTTTGTCTCAAGTGCAGTACTTTATTAAACTTGACTTCATGATCAAGTCCGTTTGCTTCAGAGTCTCATTGTCTGTGTTTGTGTTATTGGAGTTGTTGGCATCATTACACTGGATGTTGAATCATTGGAAATAGTAACAGTGACAGCAAAAGTGCTTTCCTGTCTTTGTGAGAGAGCAGCATTAATCCAGGCAAAGTGGGAGTAAAGGTGAGGGCTACAAGAAACAGAACAGTTTCATACCTGTACTGATTCTGAACAAGGGAAATGTGTAATTCCTGCCATTTAACAGCCATGTAACTGCAGTGTCCGCTCTGACTGGTTACCAAAAAATAATTAATTGTGAAATTAACATTTAATTAAAAAGGATATTTGTGAGCACAATTGTATTCCACTTTAAAATGTTTGCTCACACTTATTTTCTCTTTAGGTTTATCAAAATATTTTTTAATTTTATCATCTAGAAAAAACATACAAGGGTTGGTAGAAAAGTAACATCTTCAGCTGCTTAATGAGGAATTAAATAAGCTTTTGTAGTGATCCTTGTGTGCGCATATGTATATACTTTATTACATTATATGTAATGGCACTAAATTAAGATTTTTTTTTTAATAGATTGTGTGTTTATTGGTTAGGAGGCCAGGAAAACATGGACAGGGCCATAGTAAAAAGAAAAGTCAAATCTAAAGAGCACTTAGACCTATTAAATAGTTGTGAGTGATCAATGCACCTGTTTTATCACGATTACCAATATAGTTTGCAAAACCTCATTATACCCGCGTTCGGCACAGAGGTGTTTTGTGAAAGCTGGCAGCATAGTTATTATGATTCTGTGACCATGGTGCATCATAAGGGATATATCCCGTTTTTCTGCGGTCGTACCTCTTGTCCGGTTTCTCGCCGCGCTGGTGCAGCGTTTCGGACGCGTGCCGGGGAGGATTCAGCAGGAGGACGTTGCCGCGCAGTTGTCCTGCCAACACTGCCGCCTGTTAGATGATAGTTTTGCTTGTGTCGCGCAGATGAGAAAGTCACGGGGAAGATACAGGACCTGCAGATGAAATCGGAGGATTACGAGGTGGTCAAGGTGATCGGAAGAGGCGCTTTTGGGGAGGTCCAGCTGGTGAGTCCACGTTCCCCCGTTTTACGGTGACCTTTATTCTCAGCTTCAGCTGCCGGTTGACATGAGAGAATTGGCTGGGGGTTGGCCTTGCGCTGCTTGACAGCACTTTCAGAGCTAATAAGTTGAAACCTTGGGCTGCCTTCTTTTTAATCGCGCAAAGACTAGCCTCAAACAGCGAAGGTGTGTAAAATGCTGCATTTTATCATCGGTAGGCCCTGCAGACGGTGTCGTGGCATAACGAATGGCGTTACATGTCACAGACGAGCAAAAGTGCATTCCCTTTGAAAGGAGCATAAATATTCATGGAGATGTTTTTTAGGTACTTTATTTAAGTGTAAATGTCGGAATGTATTTTCAGAAAGAAGGCTTAGAGAATCAGCTCGTGCTTTAAATATACATCTGTCAAATGCTTCTGGCCATTGTAGGAGGTTGTTCAAAATAAACTATATGACGTGGTTTTTGTTTAATTTTGTTTTCATTTTATATGTTCAGTTCCTATTGTATAGCAAAAATCATTTTACTAAGAACTGTTTTTAGAAAGGGTGTTAGTCTTAATTGGAAAATAAAGCTTTTCTTGTGACTCATAAAGTCAGAACATGATTCTGCCTGTGAAGACAAGGAAAGTTTTAGATGGATGCACATTATTTTGTGTGAATATATTGCCTCACTGCAGTTGTGTAACACATTCTACACTGTTCATCACAGGTGCGCCATAAAGCGTCTCAGAAGGTTTATGCAATGAAGCTTCTTAGTAAATTTGAAATGATCAAGAGGTCAGATTCGGCTTTCTTCTGGGAAGAAAGAGATATCATGGCTTTTGCCAACAGTCCCTGGGTTGTCCAGGTAAGATTTCTGATTTTTCAAAGAGCTGTTGTGAGAAACCTTTACAATCCTAGGCTAACACTGTTCAGTTCATATTAAAGACACATCAGAGATGGGATATAATACCGAAGATGTTCACTTTGCTTCTGCCCAGAATATTTTTATATTTATATGTACACTTCATTTTCTGTTTCTGCGAAAGCTGTGAGTATACAAGGCTCCTTATTCCTCATCGCATACCAGATATAACAGGTAATTGTGAGTGATCGAGCACTCACGTGATCATGTGGCTTTGCACGAAGGGGCTTCCTGTTGTATCACTAATACCAATATAGTTTACAAAACCTCATTATAACTGTGTTTTCATCACAAAATTGGCATTTTGTCTACAGGAACAAGTAAAGGTAATTCCAGACAGGAGAGAAGAAAATACAATGAGCCTTGGCTGCGCTTGCTTCCCTTGTTATTTCAGTTATATTTTTCAGTGTTGCCATTAACCTTTGCAGCCAGCTCACAATTGACACAGCTCCCAGCTTGGACGTTGTATTAAGCCAACCTATGCCGACTGTGCACTCAAAAAGTACAAGCTAGAACGTAACAGCGTGGGTTTTGTTTTGGGCAGCTGTGCTGTGCCTTTCAAGATGACCGGTATCTCTACATGGTGATGGAGTACATGCCAGGGGGAGACCTTGTGAACCTCACAAGCACCTATGACGTGCCTGAGAAGTGGGCCAAGTTCTACACGGCGGAAGTGGTGCTCGCCCTGGATGCCATTCACTCCATGGGCTTCATCCACAGAGACGTGAAGCCTGACAACATGCTGCTAGACCGCCACGGTCACCTCAAGCTCGCCGATTTTGGCACGTGTATGAAGATGGACAAAGTAAGCGTGGAGGCTGAAAACAAGTTTCAAAGGCGTTCATTCATGTTAATCAAGGGAACCACAGTTTAAGTACCAGCAGCTACAATCTGACATATTTTCAGGCACGTGTAGGGTGGTCTTTAATACACAGCCCCACCTAGTGGCACACCAGAGTTAGTCCTCCACCCTACACATGCTTAGAAAAATGTGCAGTTCTCAGGTAGTAAAAGCCTGCTCACTGGAAGAAATTATTGGTAGTGTATTATAAATGCCAGATGAGGTTAGATCTCATCTGAAAAAATATTTATGGTGCATTATAAGCTAACCTTCTGTTAATTGTAGATGTTGTGTTAACTTCATTCACTTACACTACCTTCAGATAAACTTCAAATAAATATTCAGCTGTAGAAATGTAATCCCTTTTTATGTTGATGTGGTCTGTACATTCTTACTTCATTAGACTCCATTTTGAATGTGATGGGTGTGCTTTAATAAACAGTCTTGAGTATTTGCACTGCTGTTGCTATGTTACCTTTGAATGTTTGTGAATTGAAAGCATGATTTAATTTACAAAAAAGAAATAATATGTTTACCTAGCTCATCAAGTTACAGATGTACTATAGACGATCACAGATGTTTGCACTCTTGCCATTTTCTAAAGATAATTGGACAAAAATATTTCTGTGGGCTATGCAAAATTAATATAGATAGATAATACTTTATTAATCCCATAGGGAAATTGATTAAATATATATATGAAATATTTATATCTTATATATATATATGAAATAATATATAGTATGTATAAGATTTGTATTAAAATAGTCTATTGATATAAAGTTAGCTATATGAACTTTTAATTGTGAAGTGAATTTCATGACCCAGAATTAAAGACTGTTATTTACTTAGTTGGACAAGTATAATCCACCGCTTCTTAACTTCAATATTTATCATTGGTGTGTAGAAATAAGGTATTTCTATTTAAAAATGAAAGTTAATATATGATTGAACATTGACATTCACCTATTCATTTGTATTTTTTTTTATTAAATGACTCCACCTATGGAGCCAAAGGTGCTGATTCTTTACAGATTTAAGCAGGCATTACCTCAATCTGACCTTAATTTGGAATTTAATGTTATAATGTGCTTCAGAAAATTGTGCCACTTGGTTTTACTGAAATTTGTGTTGTAGCACCACCTCGTGGTGTAAACAGGCTTAACGAGTTTGCTTGATTTCACTTCTTCTTGCCATGTTTTCCTGATAGTTACTTCACACAAACATTATTTGTTGAGTTTTCTGCTGACACCATGGCCTGTGTAAATGCATAGTTTCATATTTAATAAAAGATTTATGCGATGTTGGTGCCATTTATCATTGTATGTAGACGGAATTTGTGTTCTGCCTCTACAGACAGGCATGGTGAGGTGTGATACTGCGGTGGGAACCCCTGACTACATATCTCCAGAAGTTTTGAAGTCCCAGGGAGGGGACGGATACTATGGCCGAGAGTGTGACTGGTGGTCTGTGGGAGTCTTTATCTTTGAAATGCTCGTTGGTGAGTACAGTATTTAAAGTTAGCCGTCATAGATTTTAGTAGGAGATAAACAGACAGTCAATGGGTTATGTTGTAACCGACTTATGTTAATTGTACTTGCATACCAATCCCATTAAAACAGAAAAAGGAATCCTGGGTTGTGTATAATTGTTTACATTGCATACATAACCAGGAATGGTTGTTTGTGTATAGTTGTGTGGTGGAGGTGCACACAGCCTGTACTGTAATTGGCAGCATTTGCTTTCTGGGTCAGGGATTTTATTTTTTCCCCATGATTTCCTTTAACCTCTGAGCCATGGTAGCTCAGACGACAGGAGAGGCTAGCTCCTGACCGGAAGGTCCCGCGATCAATCCCAGGTAGGGCCAAGTGATGTAGCTTTCTCTAAATCCTTCCAGATGGCTCCCAGGTCCACTCAGCCTGCTTTCCAAATGAGTACCGGGGGTTAGTCCTTCTGGGGGTAATAGGCCGGCCGGAGCGTGATGCTGACCACATCACTGCCACCTCCAGTGTCGGATGGTCAAAGCAAAATGGTGGCCCTTACTCCCCATTCCCCCACAGGCCTTTATGGCCTGAAAAGGGACCTACCTACCTACTCTAACCTTGGCCAGCAAGCACAAATTTGATGTGTAAAGTGATACTGCTGCAGTGAAGAAGCAGCTTAAAGTGATTCCTCTAGAAACAGAAAATGGATATATATATATATTATCAAAGATTGCATGTGAACTCAGACTGGCATTGTCCATGGTGAATACCACTGTGGAAGACAGAGATTGAGCATTGGGATATTCGAAGGGATCTGCCCCCCATGAAGTCAACTATTACAAGCAAGCAAAGAGGAAATGTTAGTGAGGTAGTGGAAAAACTTTTAATTTTGTGGATAGAAGATCAAACACAAAGACACGTGCCTCTGAGCTTTCTCATTTTTTCGTCATTTAAGGTACGTGCCAATTAAATATTGCCTTCAGTCTAAGGCTGTTTAATGTAATGCTTAGTTTTTGTCGAAGGTGTTATGGTCACAACATGCAAAGTGTTTCAAGCAAATTTGTTCCTATAATGATTACCTTGCTTAGTGCAGTTAACTTTTCTTTACTCAAACTGAGTCTTCGGTATATCTAATGGACAACAGGTAGAACTCTGAACAGCACTTACCATTACTCTCTCCACCGTAGATCCTGTGGGGAAACACCCAGTATAGGTACTTCCCTACACACAATATTAATCTCCTATGAAATGCAGCGATTATATATTTGTTTTTATTCTTTTGTATGAGAAAGTTCTTTTTATCTTATAGGTAATACTGTAATTTTATGTAAAGTATAAAGACATTAAATTGTGTCTCTTAACGCATAGGTTTACTGTGGTAGGCTCAGTACGTAGAGAAATCCTTTATACTGTAAAAATATGGAAATGTGGTTAACGTCAATACTGAGTTATGTAGTCGGTTCAGGAACGTAACCCCCACGTAAGTCGATGACTGTTTTAGGTGAATATCAGACTGTGAAGAGTCGAGCAAAAAGGTTTCTTTTAATATCTCAGTGGTTACAGATGCACAGAAGCTTGAGTGATTTTCCAGTTCAACCTCAGTCTTTTTGTATTAATAATTTGAGATATTAATCAGAACATGTTGGTCACCGATGAAAAATGTCTAACATATTCCCCATATATTCTCCTGTAGGCGATACTCCATTTTATGCCGATTCTTTGGTGGGAACGTACAGTAAAATTATGGATCACAAGAACTCTTTGAACTTTCCGGATGATGTTGAAATCTCAGAAGATGCCAAAAATCTTATCTGTGCCTTCTTAACCGATAGGTGAGTCTTGTCTACTTCAGGACACTGTTCAAAAGCCCCTTTGCAAAGCCACACAAAATGTTTTGTTGTCCTGGTTTCGTCGGTTCATTAATGCCACCTCATACTGCATCCTCCAAAAGTCTCCGGACACCAAAGTCAAAATTTCCTTTATAGTCAAGCAGTTAGTTTTGGTGATCGTGAAAATAATATGAAAGTACACAAAACTTCAAGAGGGTGATGAGGACATGGAACAAGCTAACCGGGGATATTGTTGAGTTCTCTGATTATTGCACTACTAACTACCAAACAGGCTAGATGGACCTTTCTTATATTCTTATGAATGAGTACTGTACCTGATCCGAAAATGTGATTATATGGTTTATAATTCCATCCATATTTAAACAAAAATGTACTTTGTGTTCAGCCGTGTGACTTGTTTTTGGGGCGCATTCACTTCAAGTACAGTTGGGGCACATACATTCAGTTACAGCGTAAAAGTGGTACTTGGTATTGGGTTGCATTTCTCTTTGAGACAGCACTAAATCTCCAACCCTTTGAGTTCGTCCTCCTTGTATAATCATTTGAGCTGCTTTTCCAAGCCTTTGGTGCAGGTACTTTTTCTTTCTTGCGGTACTTTGAATTTCTTCTTCAGCGTGTAAAAGGCATGTTGATTTTAATTTAAGTCTGGAGATTGGTTTGGCCAATTTGAGATTTCACGCTTTTATTCTCCTGATGAACATCTTGGTTGCATTGGTCATATATTTTGTGTCACTGCATGTTGATGCACCTCCCATTAAGTATAGACTCTTATACATAAGCCGATAATGTTTCTCTTAATTTCGGAATTCTTCGGAGATTTCTGAGAACACTGGGGGTAAAGTCTTATTGATAGATGAGAAAGAATATCACTAATAAAGTGATGGAAAGGTCAAGAGTGAAAAAAGAAAAGAACTGCAGAACTTCCGGAGCTGGAACGTCTTGCTAAAAAGAACACCACCTGGCCTGTGAAGCATTTCTTGGCCATGTGTGGCTGCCTCTGGAAGTGCTCAAGATGACTTGAGGTGCTATGGATCAGGCCCTGTCTCTGGGTGATGGATAAATCTAGGCTTGAATGTTACTAACCAAATCAGCGGGTCTACATAGCCAGTGTTGAGTTCTCATCTAATAAACAGCTCAGGTGCAGTGTAACCACCTACTCTTGTGTTGTGTAAGAGGTCATGTTATTTATGTTTTAACACAAGGGTGCTTTATTGTCCTAATGGAGCCTCTGAGTTAAGTGGATCTTTCAGTGCTCCTCTGGGATGATTAACAAAATCTCTCCACTTGTATATTCCCCTTATTTTGTCTTCCTCCTGCCAAATTTTGGCAGTCCAGCAAAAAATGCTTTTAAGCAAATATACCTAGCTTAAGCAGTTGGAACTGTGTAGCACAAAACTGGCCACGTGGCCATTTGCTATTTAGCAGTGTTATTTTACCCCTGTCATGGTCTCTGTCCAATTCCTGTGGCGGGGTTATAGACTGGGGATTGTAAGAGACTCTGCTCTTGTCAGACAGGCATGCTGTGTACAACACATGCTTTGCTATGAACATCTTCAGTATGCTTTGCCCAGATTTTTATTAGTTAACTCAGCATCGGCTTTCCCAGTAGCTTCTATCTTGTCTTGTGTTGCAGGACCAGCGTCTTGGCCCAAAAGAAAGCATGTTCTCAAATATTTTGGAAGAATAATGAAGAAAATGTACCAATGACTTTTACTTGACATAGTTTTGGGGTTTTGTTTTGGTGCTTTTAGTTTCTGTTTTCAGGTTATTCTCCTTTATAAACATCATTGCATGTTGATCTTAATACTTGGGAGTGCATGATTGAGTGCATGATTGAGGCAAACCGTATTAATTTATCCAGTGATGTCTGCTTTTTTATTTTGAATCACATTAAGGATCAAAAGACTTTTGCAATCAAAAGCCGATTTACTTGGTTTAAGTAGAAAACCGGAACATCTGAGCGGCCCAAGGTGTGAGGAACCTGCTTGGAATGCGGAATTGCTAATCCTAATGCAGGCCCACTTCAAGCTCTTGGGAGGGTGTAGCAGGATTGCATGATCCAACAGGCATGGTAGACCACTAAAAAACTAAAGCTTTAAAAGTACTGAAAAACTTGTTGACCATTTTTTGTTTGTATGATAAAAACTAAAATATCTGTTCTGGAATTAATATAAATAGTAGGGATAGGCCATCTGAAAAGAAAATTAAGTAAAATTTACTCATAGATATCAATTCATCCATAAAAATGTCTCTACCAAAGAGCCTACAAAACCGTGCAAGCTAGAGAATTAAATGAGCGTCCACTCACTATATGTACTAAATCTATATGTACTAAATGGGTAAATACCACCTAATGCAGATGTGGGGTGCAAGTAGCAAGTACGATGAGATCAGGAATGTACGTAGCAAACATGATGTGATATAACAAGGAGATTTAAACATTCCACACACAAATTGGGGTGTTGTATTGGAGAACACAGAAGCTTGAAATGAAAAGGTTAATGGTTGCTTCTTTACACAGTTTTGTAAAGGCACCATGTTATTGAATAATGAACCCAGGATGAAGTTCATATTGACCTAAAATTTTCAAACAGCCAGGATATAATTAAAGGAATAGACATGATAGAACCACTTGGAAATTGTGACCATAATATGGTATCTTGTGATATAAGTGTGTATCTAAAATTAGGGTTTATAATTTTAGAAAAACAAGCTATGAAGGAATGAGGCAGAGCTTACAAGCAGTGAACTGGAAACAGATGATACAGTGTCAATAGAGAAAGATGGTTGTGCTTCAAAAACAATGTTGCAGGCTCAGAATGGACTTATTCCAAAGACATAGAAGTGGAGAGGAAAGAATATTGCAATAGTGGGAAACCAAAATGTGAAGCACCTTTTCCTTTATTACAGCAGTAAAAGAACACTAGGACTGAATACCAGTGATAGAGAAGGCTTTGGCATGAAGACTTGGGACAAAATGATGGATTGGGCTGACACTGTGGCAAATGAAGATCAGCATCAATATGTGTTAAGTGATCTACACTGGTAGCAGGAACACACATGACACAATTTACATGGGTGCTTCTGAGCAGCAGGGAGGTTACACACAAATGGGATCTGGCTGTTTAGACATTCTTGTATAACCTCATTCAGACAATGTGTGGACGCAGCAAAAATGTGGAATTGAAACATAACTTTCGTGGATTTAAGCTCAACAATGCACTTGTAGGACCTCGTCTAGAACACTGTTCAGTTTTGGTTTAAGAAGGGCCTGTAATCCTGAAAAATGTTTTCTGGTCTCAGCCCCCTTGGAAAATACAGACTAGTTAAGGGAAATAGATCTCTTCAGTCTAGAACAAAGGGTTCAAATCAGAGGACTGTTTCACATTATTGTACTAGGGGGGTACAGCTGGTGACTTCATTGAGGTTAGAGAACAGGAAAGGCTTCTTTACTCAAAGAGTGGTGGTTGTCTAGCCAGGCGAGACCAAAAGCCTTAAAGAAATGTCTGGATGACATTTTAAATTCACTTAATTACCAAATGTGCAAGATGGGCCGAATGGCCTTCTATGTTTTGCAGACTGGTCTTATGTGGATGTTTCTGGTGAGGTGTTGGATAGGGTGTCTTCAGTTTAAAGTGCAACAGGGACCCCTGGGACCTGTCCAGCGTCGGTGAGTTTGCAGTGCTTTTAGATGCATCGCTCCTCCAGTTTCATGCAAAACCCTGCATGGTTGCACACAATATTGCGGCACCCCGATGGGAGACTTGGTCTCGAGTTGTGCCATATGAGGAGGTGTAGCAGCAAGCAAAACTGATTCCCAGTTAGTGATTCCTGATTTTGTAAGAATGCAATAGAAAACTGGAGGTATGAGCTTATAAAAATGTGGAATTTATGGCCTGTATTTGAAATTACTTCATAGAGACACTGAAAAGACCAGTTCTTTTTTAACATGAGTAAATGACATCCAAATACCATTGCCAAGCAAAATTGGGAGGAAAATAAAAAATCTTCCATTGTAGTTGCCATGGTGAAGCAGACTCTATTGGATGGGGGGAACAGACATTGTTGTCTTTTCTTCTCGGTTGCGTTTGAACCAGCTACAGAAAGCTAAAAGTAATTTGCAGTTCTTGGCATGGTTAAAGAATCGTATTTATCTTGCAATTGGTATTTCATGGTGGGTTCTTCTAACAGTCATTTAGATGGATGATTCTTGCTTCAAAGTGAGTTGAGAGCTTATGCTGCCATGATTGGGTAGGAGCAGTGTTCCAGCGGCTGGAATAATCGGTTAGTGCAGTTAAAAACTTTCCCAGATAGTCTTATAATATTGTTTAACACTTCATTAGGGAAACCTACAGTACATTAGAGGATGTCAAGTCATCTGAAATGAAGTGTGTGTACTTTGGATTCAGGATTTAATATGAATATGTATGATTTCATATATCAACCTTTTTAATTGTGTCTTTAACTGCCTTTAAAGTCAAAACTTATTTTTTTCTTCCAAAACTTATTTTGCTCTTAACATTTATATGGTGTCTATATAAGATATGAACATGCAAGCATAAAATATATATAAAATATTCGGTTTTGTATTTTTATTTTAAACACTATGGTATATCTGCACACTTTATTCTGGTGAACTATTAATGTACTCAGGTGATCTATATTACTTAAGGGGGTGGTGGGGTGGCTCTGTGGCTGAGATCTGCGCCTGTGGCTGGATGGTTGCCGGTTCAAATCCCGTGGCTGGCAGAGAAATCCTACTCCGTTGGGCCCCTGAGCAAGGCCCTTAACCCCAGCTGCTCCAGGGGCGCTGTATAAATGTCTGGCCCCAAGCTTCTCTCCCTGTCTCTGTGTCCCATGGAGAACAAGTTGGGGTATGTGAAAAAGAAAAAAAACTCCTAATGCAAGAAATTGTATATAGCCAATAAAGTGATCTTATCTTATGTGTGTGTGATATGTGAGATAAAAGCTCTGAGTTTATTAAGGATCTCTGGTTACTTAAAGCTGTGTTATATATATATACCGATGTTATATTAACCTTAAGGTTTGCCATAAAGCTTCATGGTTTCTCTAGCCTCATGAGCAGGGCTGCTTCGGGGAATGCAAATGAGTTCTCGCCAGCCCTAGATCAATGCAGTGTCTGTGGAAGCGCGTCATATTTGCACTGCGGTCTGCTGTAGGGGAGAGAGAAAGGTGGCTTTGTGCTGGTGAAGCCTTCGAGATAGAGGCCGTGCGTGATGGACTGCGTATTCCTGAGGAAATGCCATTCATGAAAGAGCTCCCTGTAGTGAGCCATGAGGGCACAGGAGCCCAAGCCGAGGCTTGGAGAGGAGAGAGGAGGGAAGAGCGAGGCGCCGTTTACGTGGGCTGCGAGCACATCTCCCACGTGTGGCTGTCTTCCTGTTTACATTAGCTTCAGTGCTCTGGGGATTTATTTAAAACAGATGCTCTCTTCACACACACACACACGTTGCGCATTCAGGCACTTAAATCGAGAGGGGAAGGAATAAGCTTCTGTGTTTTGTTTGCAGGCAGGGACGTGCCCAGACCTGTATCATCCTAACTTCTGAGCCCATTAATGATCGAATAAGAAGTATGATTAGTTCTCTATTTAAAAAAAAAAGTAAACGGTCCTTCTTTTGTTACCATAGTCTTGCTGACTCAGACTAACTCCTTATTAGCTTGTCAAATTCTGAAGGTAACTGTGTTTGGAGCGTTTGAAGTGTTTCACAGTTTTGTTTTATTATGGGATGACAGGACTCGAATGAAGCCCTGCCAGCCTTCATGGTACACATCTTGAGCACCCCCCCACCTCCCACCCCCTGTAAACTGCGCCCTGCGGCAGTCATATGGTTTGGCCACTTTCTCAGATTCGCAGCTGATCCCTTGGCTTCTATTGGAGTGCTCCCTCCCTGTCTGTATTTAAGCTAAAATCTAGTTTTCACCACACGTGGCAGGCTCCGGAGCTCCATCCATTTTTTTTTTTTCCTCCAGCGTAGAAAAGTCTGCGCTGGGTTTTAAAAGTCCTTGTAAATCAAGAGGAGGAGGGAAGGTGGGGAGCAAGGACTGTTCGGCAGCAGGAGAACAGCCCTTGTACTTGTGTCGTCCGGAGGGTCGTGCTCACACCACCTCTCCACACACGCACGTCGCTCCTCTGTCTCTTCCTTTCTCCCTGCACCCGGCTTGTCCCCTGGGAGAGTCAGGTGTGTGGAAAGCGAAGGCGCCGGGCCGGGCTGGTCGAAGCCGGTCGGTGGCGAGGGGGCGATGTGCTGTCGCCGAGGACGAGCTGCTTGATGATAACTGGACCTGTTGCTGTGTGCAGGGAGGTGCGGCTTGGACGCAGTGGAGTGGAAGAAATAAAACGCCACCCTTTCTTCAAGAACGACCAGTGGACCTTTGACACGATACGTGAGAGTAAGTGACACTGCTGGAGTTCTTGACTATTTTCCTTCAGAGTTTCATTACTTACTAAGCTACTGTGTGGTTTTCTGCCTTGCCTAATCTTTGGGGTTTGGACACAGCCAGATTAATTAACAAACGCAAGCGGTTTTGAAACATGGAATATTTATTTTTTCCCATATTCCGATTTTAAATTTTGGTCCATACTGATGTTTTGTTGTTGTTTTTTTCCTCAAATCTTGCCTAAATATCCTCTGGTTTGGTTCTGCTTCATGGTAGTGTGCTATCGCAAGGAAATGCTTTTTTCCCCCCCAAACTCCCATATTTGTAAGACATCTGTACCTAAAGAGGGACAGACCACTTCAAAGCTTTGCGGAACCGTAGTTTGTGTGCACAGCATGCAGCATGCAGTCTTGTTAATAGGAACATGGTGCAGAGGAGCTCTAATGACAGGGTGACTGAAAATAGATTGCTGGGTATGAGAATTTTAATCAGTGCATCCCAGTTATTTTCAACCTCTGTGAAGCTCTTGCATCTTTTTATAAAACAAATGTGCTGCTGGCAATCTGTTGTGCGCCATGTTTTTATTAATCTGTATTTAACTGGAGTTCTAAAATGATTTTTTAATTAATGAAGGATCGTAGATCACCACAGAGTTTTAGTATTTCTCATAGGGATAATTCAGAAGTAGAAGCATTTATTGTAAGAGGCATGGAAAATGAAAGAATTTTTAGTATGCCCAAACAATAACATGCTACAACACAACAAACTCAGTGCTAGTAAACAGCATATTTTTGAGTTAAGTACATTTCATCCATATCGAGATAAAAGTTTAATATTATACACGTTCCATATTACATCAGTTTCTACTATTATTCAGTGCAGTTGCACATGTGTAGAGCTTAAATCCAAGTTAAATACAAAGATTTGTATTGATTCAAGAGCAATTAATGATAAAGAAACCAAAGTCATTTGTAACTGAAAACATCAGCATATTGAGCTGTGAATAGTAATTCATCTTGAAGACAGTCTATTTATATTACAGAGTAATAGCAAAATGTATCTGTCAGGCATCCAAGACAAATAGAATTCCTCTGAAGCATTAACTAGTACTTCAAATTAAACATACTGCAAATAATGAAGCTTTTTGAAATCTGGCAAAGAGGCCAGTGTCAGTAGCTTACCTCTGATCTTTACAAAGACTTATTGCCACTGTGTTTGGAAATCTTAAATTGTTTTAAAATATTACTGTATCAGAGGTGGTCAGAGTACTGTAGTATAGCTGTTTAAAAGCAATTAATCATAATATACTGTATGTACAGAACAATTTTTAAAATCATATTACTTGCTGTTATGGTAATGGTGAGTCATCAAACTTCTTGTATAGATCACCAGGAATGTGTCTCTAGTTTCCTTTTTTTTATTTCAGCTGTGATGTGACAAGTTCAGTTGTCTTTTTTTAATGTAGTGATACTGAAATTTAATGTATTGCAACTGTAACCCTCTCCAGTCTTCAGTTTTCCACAAACAAAGTTTTACATTCTTGTTTTCTGTAGTTTTATTCAGTTTACTTAAATATATCAATGTTTGCTGCCACCAATAGGAAATCATATGCTTAAAATTTTTATTTTTTTGGAACCTTTTGACATTGCAAAACTTATGTCACATATGAGTCGCACTCTTTGGACACCTATTAATATGAAGTTCTGTGGTGTTTTTCTTTCTTCCACTTTTGGCATTTTGAGTTCCATTTTATGAATTAAATAATCTGCCACCAGAGACTAAATATTTTACGCATGCTACATTATTTTGAGCAGGTTTCTCCAATACAGACTACGTTTCCACCCTGACAGCTCCATCAGCAAGGATTTTATGAAGAGACCTGTCGTTGAACTAAAAATACTTGTTTTTAAAATTACAAGCGAGTACTGACTCTTATAAAGATGCATGTCATAATTTGCTCAGCTTATATTAACGATTCCAGTAGCAAGCAAGCACTATGTGTGAACAGTTTATTGGCTAAATCTTTAGAAATGTTTCTGTGCAATAGAATAACAGACACCTTTCTGGAGAAAAAAACATTTACTAAAACATTGTTTTAGTAAATGTTACCCAATTCTTACAACAGCATTTACAATTGCCATAGAAACATTGAAAACATTCTACACTAACAACTTTACTAGTTCTACACTATTTCTAGTGTGATTTTTAATGAAAACTATATAGGGACAAATTAGTTACAATTAGCTCTTCAACCCTGTAATAGAAGACCTCATCTTTACTTCCAAAAATTCTTCTGGCTTGGTGTCATGGTTGAGTTTGGTCAAAGAGTGGTTGTCTTCTTGAGGCCTTTGGTTCAGTTGCCACCATATACTACAATTTCATTACAAATGATGCAGTACCCAATTCCAGAGTGCCCAACTCTACCCATGGACTCTTCTTAGTCAAGCCAGATTCATCTCTATTTGTTCTTGACTGTGTTTTTACAGGCTGTCAACCACAATTTCTTACATATGTGGCACTTTTTTATTAGTATATCCAGTGTTAAAGGTCAGCACAGACAACGTAACACCACTGACGCCAAAGTGAAACATACAGTACCTCCGCACAACGGAACCTTTTAATAGATGGGATTAGATGCTAAGCCCTCGTTTTTCCTTTGAACAATTAAATTTGACTTTTGATTGTATTTTAAAAAGTAGAACTAAAATACAGATACATTCTGAACAAGCAAAAGCTGTCATCTCTTCACTCTTGTGAGGTAGCGTAGAACCTGTTTTTATATTTTGTCTCAACCTGCATACAGTATGAACACTTCATCCTGGGCGTTTGCAGTGACATTGAACCTTTTAAGACCTCCTATAGGCATCTCTGTGACTGTAAATGTCTACACTAATTGTGGTTGTAGACATCAACTCAGTAGAAAAAAGACCCATTGTTGCTGTAATTCTTATGAGCAATTAAAATTGTAAACTATGATTTAAATATAGCATGGGCAGTCCAATAAATACACATTACTTTGTAACCGAGCTCATTTGGTATTTTCCCATGGCTGGAAGCCTGGCTTTTCAGAGCAGCAGAATTCTGAGCTGTGTGGCTCTGAAGCCAAAACTTATAGATTTATACGTTTTTTAATTTCGCAACGAAGCTTCCCCCTCATGAGTATCGGATGATACTTTGTTTGAAAATAATATACTTGCCATATTGCTTTTTTGCTTCATCCGTCCGTTTTTAATAATGGGTTGCAGATTCCAAAACCTGGCGTGGCTCAAACTGCTATGGAACAGGAGTTTGATTGCTAAACATGATGGCTGAAAAACATCCTGAGAGGCTCTAGTTCATTGGTGGTTAAATTATTGCCTGTGCTGCCCACAGCTGTAGCCCCTGTAGTGCCAGAGCTGAGTAGCGACATTGACACCAGCAACTTTGATGAAATTGAAGATGACAAGGGGGACGTGGAAACCTTCCCTGTCCCCAAAGCCTTTGTTGGGAACCAGCTGCCTTTCATAGGATTCACCTACTTCAGGGAAGATCAGTAAGTGTTCCTTCCTTCTTCTGACACATGACTTTTGTAGTAATATTCTTTTTGCATGCTGAAGGGATTTGCGGCCTTGCACAGATGTTTTTTGATGCAGAATTCCACAAAGCAAAGAAATCACAAGATCATCTCCCACAAATAAGGCAGAGACCCACTTAAGTCTTGAACCGATTGGATAGGGCCCTGGAGTTCTGCTTGGCGTGCACGAGGTGCGCTTGGACTCTTGTGTCAAAAACCGATATTGGCGCACCAGCTGTGATAGGCTGTCTGTGGTTTTTATGTCACGTTGTAGTTGTAAATACAGACAATATTTGACTCGATTTGTGGAACAAAGGTAGAACGGAGGGCAGTTCTTCATTTAGAGCACAGTTTTTGTTTTGAATAACTTTCCCTTGTCCAATAATATCTTGACAGAAGAGCGACAGAAGAAAAACACTGCATTGTAGGGGTTCATAAGACTTTGAGCTGGGAGCAAGTATGAAAAATTCAGTCATTGAAGGGAGCATTTGTCTTTGAATGAAAGACTGGGCTGATGCTGAATGGATTTGGCTTTATCCAGTGAAGGAGTCATTGGAGATTAAGATTTGAGGGCATTGGAAAAGATTGGTATGGCTGGCACAGTGTTCCAGATTTTAAATAAAAGAGCTGTTTCTTTTCTGCAGGTTGCTAAGTGACTCAAATCCGTCCGCTGTAGAAAATGAGCATAGAACATCTATTAAAGGGGAGGTGGGTACCTTAAGTTTGAGACTTAAGTTCCGCTTAACCGCCTGTTAGCACATTTAGCCACATTTGCTAGATGGACTGCCTAATGCTGTATTCAGCTCAGGTTGTCTTTGCATAGTCCCGTGAAAAATAAATTGCATGTGATGTAAAGAGTCAAGTAGTTAAATTGAGAGGTAATTGTAAAATTGCATATTCAATGAATTGTTCATTTCGGTGGGTCATCCTGATTTGGAAGATGACAAGTTCAGTCTTAGCACAGTACACTTTATCTGAGTAAAGGGGCGATTAGGATCATTTAAGTTTTAAAACGCTTTTCCTCTTCTTAGAAAATATGGTTCTAATCCTTTAAGGTTCAAATATTATGACCTTTTCATCTAGCAGTAAAACCTAACTGAATAATGCTTATTTTTCTCATTTTTACAGGACAGTGTAGCGGTAAGTAACTTTTTTTACTTGCCCTCTTTTTTGTACTTAATTTAAATATTTAAGAAAGATGGTGTAAACAAATACATATGGAAGCTGTTGCGACACCCTGGGCACTTCAGAGAGAGTCATTTTATTAACTGTGTCACTAGCTGAGCCAGTGGCTGAGTTGAAGGAATGTATGCATTTACAGCATGCACAGCATGGTCTCAACTGCAAAAATCAGTCGAATGACACATTTAACATGATATATTAGTGTGTAGAAAAGAAATTATACAATTTCCCAACAGGTAAAATTAATGAGTCTCAGAAGAAAAAGGAGGAATGTAGGCTTTTTTGCAAACTTTGCATTTGCCTCATTATGGGGGCGTACAGTTTCCTTAACAGGGATTTGCAGGGTTTAGTGTTTTTTTTGTTTTATTTCATTACTTGGTTCAGAAGGTGGGTATCTGGCTGCCTTTACAACCAGGAGTTATGTTGCCGTATGGAGAAAGCTCACCAGCAGTGTAAACTCTTGAGAATGGCAATGTGTCCGTATTGTTCCAGCCTTGGGGGTATCAATGAAAAAAGATAAATAGGTTTATTTGATTTGCCTTAGCAGTGTATATACTAAGTGAAAGTTGCTGAAGGCAGACCCATTATGTAGATCCTTAAAATACTTGTAATGCATTTTGTATTGTTGCAGTCGGTCCAGCTACAGAAAAAGCTTCATCAGTTGGAGGAGCAGCTCAATAATGAAATGCAATCCAAAGATGAACTGGATCACAAGTGCAGGTAAATGTGCATAAAATTAAAAATGCAGGCAGAAATCATTGTGGTATTCATTGTTACTGTATTTTGCATGTACTTTTCTCCATTATTAGTGTGAAAGTACTTTTCTAAGATACGTTATTTTATGGATCTGTGCGGTCAACATTAGATATTAATGTCTAGTGGCTTGTATTCTTGTATTATTCAGCTCTGGAACTATACTGCTGAATTTCTATTTATGTTTATAGCTATATTTATGTATTGGGGATCCGAATTCTATTCATGAAACGTTATTGCACATTTCTGGCACATTTCTTGAGTCAAGGATGTAGTTTCAAAGATGGACCATAAAACCCTTTTTAGCAGGACCTAAATTATGAGTCAGTTTCTAAGCACTGAGTCCAATACTGAAGGAAATACCAAATTACTGCTATTGTGGCTAATAATCTACCACGCTACACTTTTTCTGTTGCTTGTGTGTTTCTTAATAATGCTTTTCTTTTCCAAATAGACCACAGTGGGCTCTGGAAATCAATTATGTTGCCAGCAGGTTTTTGATTTTTAGAAAGAGAGAGCCAAAGGGAAATGTATTAGTGAATGTAAAAAACATTCTTTGAAATCAAAATTTTAAAGACAGCATTTTTTTCTTTTGCTTCTCTGTCCCTAATGGTTTGCAAAAGACTTGGCATAAATAATGCACAAAGCAGTCCAGGAAATTGACTTGTAATTTTAAGTACTGTACATGGCAAGCACTATACTTGCAGCAAGCAGTGGCCCATGGTGTTTCTTTTTCTAAACCTAATGATTGAGCTTAACTTTTCAATCTGTTTTCATGTTTTCATTTATTTCCACATTCAAGACAACTCAGCTACTCCAAGTTGATGTTCCATCCTTTAATGTGTGAATTCTTTTTATTCATCAGAGCTGCCTGTAGCCGCCTTGAAAAAGTCTCTAAAGAGCTGGATGAAGAGGTACATTTTTTTAACCCACTTAAAAACCTATTAGTAGTCATTAACATAATTAATATAGAGATAAAATGGATGTGCCCAGTGAACCCACTGTCAAAAGAATGTGCATTGTTGTCCTATATATTTAGCAAAAATTGTATTGCATTTTCTCCTTTTATTTAGTGAGTTGAAGGGAGAAAAGAAAGACTAATTGGCTTCATTTTACAAAACCTTTATGGAAGTGGGTATTCATGACACTGCTTAGTTGTTGAAAACCGAGACTGAATCACAGTGGCTGTTCATGAGAAAAAGATGTCATTGAGTGTCAAATGCCAGAAACCTTTCACTGTCTCTTAGAAAATACTGCTACGTAATTCCACAAAGAGTGAAGACAGTCTGGGAAGCTCATCTGCGTGCTGCTTGAACAGTCATATCTTGATGAAGATTCTGGGTTCAGATTTGTATTAAGAAAATCGATTAACTTTCAGTCACAGTAATTCTTTGATCTACAGTTCTGAGGGGAGGTATTGATGGGTTTTATCCAGCTACTTATCAGTGATCCTATATCGGTGATAAGACTAAGTGTTAAAGGTGGCACTGTGGTGCAGTGTTTAGCATTGCTGCCTCAAAGCACTGGGGCCCTGGGTTCAATTCCGAATTAGGAGTGCTATCTGCATAGAGTGTGCATTTTCTCTCCTGGGTGCTCCGGCTTCCTCCCACAATCCAAATTCAAACTGGTAGCCTAATTGACTTCTGGGAAAATTGGCTCTGGTGTGAGTGTGTTTTTGTGTGTATGTGTGCCTGGCATCTATTGGCACTGGTGTACCATGTCTTGCACCCAGTGCTTGCTGGGATAGGCTCTGGCTCCCCCACAAAGCTGAACTGGATTAAGTGGTTGGAAAATGGATGGATGAATGAATTGTTGTGCTTTACCAGGGAGAATTTCTGGTCTGGAAGATGAGCTCAAGCATGTTTAGAACGTCAAAGAAAAGTTATACTTCCAGCTTAATTGGGATGAGAGGCAGTGTTTGATTGAGGGATAATTTCCAGAAGTGTCTCTGGGAAATGTTTTCTTGACATACTTTATGGATTTGTATTAAGGTAATTTCTTAGCACTCTGTATTGCTGCCTTTTTTTCTTCAGATTACTTCCAGAAAACACCTGGAGTCCAGCCTGAGACAGCTAGAAAGGGAAAAGGCTCTGCTGCAACACAAGAATGTAGAATACCAAAGGAAAGCCGAGAATGAGGCAGACAAGAAACGATGTCTGGAAAACGACGGTATGAAGATGACATTTATGCGATTTTGTTTTTAGTGATGCCAAAATTCAAAGTGCAGGACTGGCATAATCTCCCTTTGTTTGTTTGCTTTTCAGGATGTTTAGAGTGTCATAGGCCGTAATTCTTTGAGTTGCGTTTTAATAATAGAGCAGTAAAATCGCGAATGACAAGAGACCTTTGAAACTCATCAGGCTTGAGGCATGTTGTTGGCGTTTTGTGGTACAACAAGGTTGTCAGTCCCAGAGTTCTGACATTCGCTTGTCAGACAGTTATGGATTCTAAAGGCTGAGAACAAAGGCAGTTGAACCAGTTAAGGATTTTGTAATGTGCACCTTTGATTTTTACTAGATAACTCTTGAAAAAGGTGTTCAATGGATTATTTTACAGTTAACAGCTTAAGGGATCAACTTGAAGATTTGAAAAAGAGGAACCAGAACTCGCAAATATCAAATGAAAAGAACATACAGCTACAAAGACAGGTGTGTAGCTCCAGAAGCTCATCCCCTACATAACTTCTAAATTTGTGTGGTTATAAATTATACAGACATTATTTAATTTCAGTGCTTCCTTTGTATACTTGCAAATGCATGTACTATACTTACTATAGTGGTCAAAGAGAAAAATATCAAACCATTAAAGTATGATGTGTCATAAAAATAATCAAAGATCATCTAATACTACTGTAGTTTTTCTGTTTTATAAGCCTTCTGAAATCTCACTCTTGATCTTTTTTTTGTCATTGCCCAGTAAATAGATGAGTCAATACAGCTTTATGGGAAAACATCTTATTTGCATTTGTCATGCTTACAGGCTGATCTTGTGAAATGTTGATACAATAATGATCACTTTGTAAATATTTCAAAACAGTCTTTTATGCATGTACAGCTTGATATTCAAGTCTTTTTCGACATGGAAATAAAGCAATACACCCATGTATCATGTATGTGCCAAGAGAGAGACTGTGGTATCTGGTCTTTTTGCTTTAAGTCTGGTGAGTTTAGGCAGTTGGGAAAGCAGTGTGTGTCTCTGTCCATGTCGCTGACGAGTGTACACTCCTGTCCCTGTTCAGCTGGATGAAGTGAATTCATTGTTGCGCACCGAGTCGGACACTGCAGCCAGACTCAGGAAGACCCAGACGGAGATGACTAAACAAACCCAGCAGCTGGAGTCAAACAACCGCGAGCTGCAGGACAAATGCTGCATGTTAGAAAACGCTAAACTAAAGCTCGAAAAGGACTTCATCAGCCTGCAGTCAGCCCTGGAGTCTGAGAAGCGGGATCGAAACCACGGAACAGAGATCATAAGTGACTTACAAGGTATTTGCCACTCCTGCCTTAGTCCGGCCAGGATAGTTTTTAATCACATTAATTATGCAAAGTAAGTGTAAGCTGTTTTTATCTAATGAGAAAGCAAAGTTCAGCACTATTTTCGGCTGCAGAAAGGCAGCTATTTCACTTTCAGCCAGCTTCAGAGTGTCAGTGCTAAATGGAGATGTTTGATGTAATGCCTAAATATGAATTTCACATTTTAAATTTCTGGTAGAACATATCGGTACACTGTAGCCATCTACTGTTGGAAAATAATTTTACGACGTGTATAATTGGTTTTTGTTTTATGTTGGGGGGGAAAAAATGAGGTGTAATTTCTTGAAGGCACAATTGCATGGGCTAATGAAGCCTTTATTTGGTCAGAATAATCTAAAGTAATGTAAACCTGTTTCTGAATCCGAGGTTTTAGATGATCGCTTCAGATGCGTAGATTCAGGTGATCTTTGCTTTACTTTCCCCGTCCACCTTATAATGTTCATGGATGAAGCTTCTGCGGACAGTCTGTGACATGTGTTGTTCTTAAGCAACTTATTAAAACATTTTACTGCTATTAGATTGTGCTATTAGAAGTGAAACAAATCTAATAGAAATGAATTGTTGTGCTTTACCAGGGCGAATTTCTGGTCTGGAAGATGAGCTCAAGCATGTGAAATGTTCGTTGTCCAAAGCAGAGATGGAGAAGAGACAACTGCATGAGAGGCTGACTGACTTTGAGAAGGTGACAATTTACTGTGCGACTTGCACAGCTCCTTGAGAACTTGGTCCAGTGTTTCACTAGAGATTTGATAATTGGTTTATCTTAGTTTACTGGCGTTGGAAAGCAGCAAATGAGTATTGTAATTGCTTTTTTCCTTTTTGCCTTTTTTAAATCTCCATCTGGAGAAACGTTTGATGCCTTCTAGTAGACTGTTCTGGGGGCACTTCTGCAATTGGAATGCTTTTCTAATGATAGAACTCGATGACCTTGGAAGACACCACACAGTGCTGTATGTTTTCACGGTAGTCTTTTCCATTTTCCTGGCCTGACATGTTACGCATGATTTCTCCACATGCAGGAAAAGAGTAACATTGAGATCGACATGACCTACAAATTGAAAGTGCTACAGCAGAGCCTGGAACAAGAGGAGGCAGAGCACAAAGCTACAAAAGCTCGACTTGCTGACAAGAACAAGATTTACGAGTCCATAGAGGAAGCAAAGTCCGAGGCAATGAAAGGTAAATGAATAGGGCGCTCTGAAGTAAAACATATGCAGCTGACTCTGGTTTTGCAGAAAGTAGTGAAGTAATAACCAGTTGGATCTACCCTAAATTCTGAAACCTCTACTCGTCCTGTATTTCATTAATACAGGGGCTGGGTTGCAGGAAATTAGGTTGTATTTAATAAACCCCAAATGATAAAAAAACGTTCTACTGTTATTTCACATAACATGGGATAATGTGCTTTGGGTATCCTCCATTTTAAATAAAAATCTTTGTGAGGTCAGTTATCAGAGGAATCCCAGAAGCTTGTGTCTGTGACTCTTTTCAAGCTACTTCACTATAGCTTGGTTATTCAGTTTCCTCTGTGAACTTCAACAAGTTCAAAATAAGCCAAATTCTTTGTCAGTTCAGTCTCTTGTTATTCGGCATGTTTGTGTCAATTGTTATTTATATACATATCAACTCATAACTCATTTGTGTGGTCTATCTGTGTCATTGCAGGAAAGGAGAAATAGGGTGTAGCTTAATTTACTTTTTTTTTCTCTTTCTCTAGCAGTTTTATTTTTGAAAAGAAATTGAGCTTCTCAGAGATGTTACACAGAAAGATATTGATTGGTAAAGATTAATACCTGGTTATGCCAGTAGTTGAGAGTTATAGGCTAGAGTTTTAGAGGGAAGTCAGGAGAAAAACTGAGTTGTGCTGTGCCGAGATTTAGTCAAACAGAGAGGCAGTGTTTTAATCAATTCTGTTTTGAAATGCGATCCTGACATGCTGCAGGTAATTGTGGTATTGACCTAATATTACAGAATTACCTGATGGAAATTAATTAGGCCCCTATTAATGATGACATATGGTGTTACTAATTATGCTCTTTGCATTAAGCATCACTTAACTAAATTGATGTGGTGTAAATTGTAGCTGAAATAAGGTTAATGCAATTGTGAACATTGCATCAAAGCTGGAACCCAAATATCACAGTTATGAGAAGGTCTGGTTACTCATGTGTAACAAAGTAAGAAAGATTCCTTTTTACAGCAAGGGTTTAATTATTGGCTCACAAACAGCACAGTTTTGGCCTTTTAATCAATTTTTATGATTTATAAATGGCTAACATGCTTCGTATACATCCCAACCACAGGAAAATGGAAAATTTTACCAGCTGTTCTGTATCAAATTAAATTTGTAGTAAAGTCTGGCGTTCTTTCAGATGCTGTGCAGTGGTTGCCCATGTCATTCATTATGGCTTCTTACTTCTGTCTTTAGTATAAGGTATTTTATTGGCTTACATTTTCAGTTTAATAAGGACTATTACTGAAATATTATTACACATATACGAAATACATGCATAGATCAGGTGTGTCTATCTGTATTTTGTAACTCAAGACTATAAATACAAAGTTGTCTTCTGATTAAGTGAGCCCAGATTAAACTAAATGGCCAGTTTCAAATGTTCAGATGTTATTTTTCTTGAAGCTTTTGAGCCTCTGTCCATCAAAGACTGGGCAGTTGATGGTTGATGGGGGTTTGAAGTTAAAAGTTTATCTAGAATCCAAGCTCATTTCACCCCTTACTTTACAATGAGAAATTTAGCTAAATGTCCCCCTTGTTTCATCCAGAGATGGAAAAGAAACTTCAGGAGGAAAGATCGTCGAAGATGAAGGTGGAGAACATCTTGCTGGAGGTGGAGAAACAGTGCTCCATGCTAGACTGCGATCTCAAGCAGTCTCACCAGAAACTGGAGGAGCTTCGGAGGCAGAAGGAGAAATTGACGGAAGAGGTTTGTCCTTTACTCCTCCTGGCTCTACTGAGCAGAGAGCGTTATGATCAAATGTGCACCTCTTACTTGTCTCTTTGTAATTACTGTAACACTGTAGAACTGGCAGGTATTTGTGTTTTAAGCACATTTGGTGCTTCAATTTAGGTTGAAAAGTTGACAAAATCAACTAATTTCTTGGTCTGTCCCACGTAAACCTGAACAAAAGTCAGCCACACAATCCAGCGATAACTATATTTTCGCTCGAATGTAAAATGTTGTATAGGCCCTTCGGGAGATTGTTTTACAGATCACCTCTGTCAAAGGTAAGTCAGCTACCATAAATATTCTGTAATCTTTCCTTGAACTGTTGGAAGCATAGGATCTGAAATGGCAAAGATTTATATTTTGTAATGGCATTTTAGTAACGGTACTAGAATTATTCTCTCTCGATTTCTTGGGAAACCATATCAATATCAGAATCGATCGGTCTGGACCCAGAATGTTAGTGCAAAATCTATGCTAATTTAACTGATAATTGAATCCTACAAGGAAGTAACAAGCTTTATTTCACAGGCCAGAACTGAATTCAGGGTGAAATAAAGAATTACTGTCAGGTAGTAGGGATAGTGAAGTGAATGAATCCCATGCCTTGGACTCGTAGCACATTTTGAAATTGTTACTACTTATGGTATGTCCTGTTCTGCCATAAGGGAAACACATGAGATTCCATGGGATGCTGGTTTTAATTAACTGGGAAAGGCAGTTAAAATGATTAAAGTATCAGCCTAATATAAAGCACATAAAAAGTCTTTGTTTCTTTGGCACATTAAGTCTGTCTGTGTCCTAATCGGAAAAAGGTCTTCTGCAGGTGAAGAATTTGACTCTGAAGATCGAGCAGGAGACGCAAAAGCGCAGCTTGACCCAGAACGATCTTAAGATGCAAAGCCAGCAAGTCAATGCGCTGAAGATGTCCGAGAAGCAGCTGAAGCAGGAGATCAACCACCTCCTGGAAATCAAGCTGAGCCTGGAGAAGCAGAACAGCGAGCTGCGCAAGTATGAAACCTCTTTGAGACGTTACCACTTCAGGTTTTCTTTAATCAAGTACATTTTTTGACATGGGTGTTTTCATCATGTCTTGTTTCTTTAGGTAAAGGAGGAACATGGTGTACGGTTGTTTCTAATTGATGCTTGAAGGATAAATGTAGTCATGTAATTTCTTTTCCTTCTTTGTAGAATACTTGTAGAAGGGCAAAAGGAATAATAGAAATACTTTTTTTGTAAGTGGATTGTACTACTGCCAGTTGTGGATGAGCTTTAAGACATGAACTAGCAAGTGTTTTGTATATTTTGCTTTTAGGGCGTTAGTTTAAGTGACTAGATTTGATCATTTTTTTCTGGATGGAAAGTTGGTATGAGATGGTCTTCCACCTTTATAAGAAAGAAGATGAAGGTATGATTTTAAAAGTGGAGATAATGTGTGCAGTCCCCATGCTGTAATATTGAAATATATAGGAAATCTTGTCCTTACCTGGTTAGTGTGACTGGATTTTGGTTGGTCGTGTAGCTCTTCTTCCTGAGTGGCGTTTGTTTTTTGTTTTAAGGGAGCGCCAGGATGCAGATGGGCAGATGAAAGAGCTGCAAGATCAGCTGGAAGCCGAGCAGTATTTTTCGGTACTTTCTCTTGTTGCTGACTGTCGTGCTTTATCCCACTTCAGCACACATCTGAATTCCATAACCCTCTACAGAACATCTGAACTCCTTCACCGTATTTCATGTAAAGCGTAGGTGCAAAACTTCAGTCCTCAAGAGCCAGGCTCCAGCAGGGGCTCTAGGTCTCTTTCAGTCAACACAGCTGAAGATCTTTGATATCCGTTAAATTTAAAATTAGCTCAATTATGCTCAATAAAAAATTAGCACAAAGGTGGAATGAAAACATGGTAATACACAGGCATTTTGGATTGACATTTTGTACCTGTAAAGACAGGTTAGTGATGTAACTTGCCATGATCTTAAGACCATGGGCAGGCAACTCAGTTCAATTTTCCTCTCTTTGTCATTCCACCTCTGTCCTTAATGCCTGATATAATTATGTGGATAAGAATCATATTGGATCATAATTGAAATCTGTCCCACAAACCTGCATAAACCTGGCATATTCACTCCTTCTCTATTTTATCCAATGGGACATGGTGACAGACTAGTTCCCAGTTCATATTTGAAGATACAGAGCACTCTTTTTATAAGATTTGTTTTGATTTGTAAAGAATCTTATTCTTATAACCCAAAATTCTGAGGAGTGGATGACATAATTAGACTTGTTCCTTTTATTTTGAAACTTCCCATTTGCCTAGCTAAGTGCCTAAGACTTCAAACATTCAACATGGAAACAAATTATAACAACATTTGAATCCAGCATGGCTGTTATTATTACTACTGTTATACATCGTGGAACATTACTGACTTTCATTGAGCTATGTACTGTACCTTTTTAAGTTTGCCACATCAGTCACTTATTGTTTATAATATGTAGTCCTAATAACTAGTAATGAAATTTAAAACAGTGAAAGCAATTGATCTAATATCGTGTTACACTGTGTGTGCCACAAAATGATTCTTGTTCGTGAATTGTTACAAGCATTGTATATTGACATGGTATACATAGTGACAAATGTGTCCCTGAAGTCATTCTTATACACAAAGTGCTCTGTGTTTACAAATCTGTTTCCTGAAGTCATGTCGCTGTTTACCGTTGTGTGCCACTTCACACAGAACTATGATCTCAGCCAGAGATTTACATGGAGCACCGTGTTCAGAATTTAATTGGCCTGGAAGCAAGAATTTCTGGGCTTTGCTAGTCTCTCCTAACTTCCTTTGTCCATGGTAAAACTGCTTCTCATTCAGATCCAGGCTAAAAGTTTCAGTAAACTAAGAGCAACTTTCATTGAATGACAGCCAGCCAACTGCCTAAATGAGATTGGAGAAACCCATCTTTCACTGTTCCTGTTGACGTATGTCATGCCAAGGAAAACGTTTGAAAAGAACAGTTCAAACTGAGAAGAAAAATATTTTCTAAACAAGAACAGACACCATTGTTTGTTCAGATGAATAGTCAAAGGATCAAATATAGACTTTGAAACTCCTCATTTTCAGAATCAAAATATGGCTTCTTGTTTATTGTAGACCCTGTATAAGACCCAGGTTCGAGAGCTAAAGGAAGAATGTGAAGAAAAGAACAAACTGTGCAAAGAAATGCAACAGAAACTTCAGGAACTGCAGGACGAGAGGTAATAATTGTATGGGCTGAAGTCAAGTCTGCTTGCATTGGTCATGATTGCAGTGTCAGGAGTCTGTCTGGTATATTCTCTGCCACAGGAGAGATGTAGGTCAAACTAATAAACAGTAGCAATTGTTTTTACTTTGATGAAACACTAGATTCCTGAACCAGGAAACCCCCCCATGCTTCTAGGAAAACTATGTACAGTGTGCTCAAAGTATTGGGACAGTGGAGTCTAAACTGAGATTTTTACAATGAGCTCTGATCATTTCCCATGAACATCTACTTAGTATAGTATGAATTTTATTAATAAAGGCAGTTCTGTGTGACCTTTTGGGCCAAGTAAACAGAGTGTGGACGCTATTGATGTTGAAAGAACAAAAGTATTTGAATACAACTTTTGATGATCAGAGATTTGTTGTTTGGTAATTAGGCTCATAAAATAGTTTTGTTGTGACAGAAGGAGTCTATAGTCAAAAATACGAATATAAAGCAAGTTTTTAGTGCCTGCCTCATAGCTCCTGGATCCTGAGTTTGATTCCAGAGTGGGGTGCTGTCTGTGTGCTGACAGCATGTTCTCTCCCATGTTCACATGGGTTTTCCTTAGGTAATCGTCTTTCCTCCCACCTCCCAAAGACATGCTGGTTACATTAATATTAATTGGCATTTCTAAATTGTCCCTTATGTGTGTGTCCTTCAGTGGACTGGTCTCATCCTGGATGTTGTCTCACCATGCGGCCTGTACTTCTGAGATAGGCTCCAGGTTGTCCTGACCCCAATCTGGAATAAGCGATTTCCTGCTCATGGATGAGTAGAAACATGAAGGAAACTGAAGCACTGAAGGCACACAGTAGACAGTAATGAAGGTCATGTCCTCTATACCAGAGTTGGAACAGCACGAAAGAAAGGACAGTCGGATTGTTATGCCACTTCTTGGGAGATGTGTGCTTGTTTTTATCGCATTGGGGATGATTCTTGGAAGTGTGGTCATGCTGCAGTTTTTCTGACCTGTGCAAACTGTCGTGCGTCCTCTCAGAGACTCGCTGGCGGCGCAGCTGGAGATCACGCTGACCAAGGCGGACTCGGAGCAGCTGGCTCGCTCCATCGCAGAGGAGCAGTACTCCGACCTGGAGAAGGAGAAGATCATGAAGGAGCTGGAGATTAAAGAGATGATGGCCCGGCATAAGCAGGAGCTGGCTGAAAAGGATGCTACCATAGGATCGGTGAGTAAGATGCTGATTACACAAACATTTCAGCTGGATCAACCCACTTTTTTCTTTAGTATTATGTGTAGGCACGGGAGAAGTCTGAAATATCTTGAGTCAGTGACCTGGTGTGTACATTGTCAAATAAGGAATCCATAATCTTTATTTGAGGTCCTTCTAAAAGTTTTTCCATCTGAAAATGTCTCCCATGTTTACTAGATTCAGCTGAGTCACCGTTTTTGCTTCACAAATACATGTACAGCGGTATCCTGACGGTTTCCTTTGTATGCAGACTGCTTTTCCTAAATCTTTTAAGGTCATTATAGCGTGCATGTAGTCATTATAGTGGATGAGGCTGATGTGAGCCTTTCAGGCATTCATACTTAACTTCTTCGAAATGTGGTGTCATGCTTCCACAGCTGTTAAAGAAGAGGGTTCTGTTGCATTTCACTGCTTTTCTCCCTTTAGCTGGAGGAAGCAAACAGGACCTTAACCAGCGATGTGGCCAATCTGGCCAATGAGAAAGAAGAGCTGAACAACAGGTTGAAAGAAACTCAGGAACGTGAGTATTTCAAAGATAGTTGTAATTTTTCCATTGGTCAGTGAAGTTCTCTGGCTTATACACTGATTTCAGAATGAATATTAAGTTTTGAAAAGTAAGATGTGCGAGGTGGCATGATAGCGTGGGTGTTGCTGCCACTTAACAGCTCCTGGGTCCTGGGTTCAAACCTGTCTGTCTCTGTGTTGAAGTTTCATTTTCTCCCTATGTATCATGGGTTTTCTACTGCTTGTCCGTTTTCCTCCTCCAGTCCAACAACGTGCTGTCCAGGATAACTGGCATGTCTAAACTGACTGCTGAGTATATGTGTGTCTGCACTGTTTTTGGCTGGTGTCTTTTTCAGGGTGCAGTCCTGCCTTGGCCTGCTTGCCAGGTTAGGCTCCAACTCAGCTTGATGTTGTAAGGTCACCACAGTGACTGAAAGTTTATGGGATGCATACGTAGTGTTTTTCTGGTGAAAGCTTAAGACCCTCCCCCCTCCCCGCTTGTGTTTTAAACAGAACTACAGAAGGCGAAGGAAGATGAGCATTCGATGGCACTGACGAAGGTTCAGTTTGAGAAGCAGCTACAGAGCGAGCGAACACTGAAGACGCAGGTGGGAGCAGATCGAAACTGCATTATTTTTAAAAGCGAAATTCATTTTATTTGTAACAGGACAAGATACTTCTTCTTTCCAAATTGTGAAGAATTTCAGATGCAGATATCCACTATTTCTCAGTGGTGTTAATGGTTTATTAATTTTAAAAAGAGTTTAAAATTTTAAAACCATATCCTTTTGGTTATAAGATGACATTATTTAATAAAGGACACTTAGTGGTAGCTTTAGTTAAATTCAGTTCCTGGAGTTGGACAATAAAACAAATCTGAAGCCTTTCTTACATGTTTTCATTCATCTGGATATTTGTTTTTCTGGACTGGCGGCTTCACAAGTCTCATCTGAGTGGAATTAAACAAAAGGTCACAGGCTTAGCAGTAATGAACGACTTTCCTGCAAAAATGTTCAAAGTAATGCAAAAAATGTTCAAAGCAAAAGGTTGCCTTTTTGAAATAATGAGCTTTTCATGTGGTTTACGAGTCTGAGAAGTAGTTTAAGAAACATTCATGAGCATATAAACGGCACGTAAAGGTTCATGCTTCAGATTTCCTGGGTCTTACCCAGTTGATATCGGAAATATTTTTACAAAGGGGTGCCGCGGTCGGGCCGTGGTCAGCATTGCTGCCTGGCAGTACTGGGGCCCTGGGTTTGATTCCTGAGGGGTACTGTCTGAGTGGAGTTTGTGTGTTCTCCCCATGTTCACATGGGTTTTCTCCAGGTGCTCCGGTTTCCTCCCACAGTCCAAATACATTGTGGTAGGTTAATTGGCTTCTGAGAAAACTGGCCATGTCGAGAGTGTGTTTGTCTGCCCTGTGATGGACTTGCATCTAGTCCAGTGTGACCCGGCCTTGTACCTGTTGATAGCCAGGTCTCCTGCAACACAGTCTTGAATAAAGTGGTTAGAAAGCGGATAGATGGTTTGCGAGGTTCTTTTTACTCCCAGAATGCGCATGTATTGTCTGACCCCCGTGTTCATGGCGGCTTTCTGTTTTTGCAGGCTGTCAACAAGCTGGCGGAGATCATGAACCGTAAGGAAGTCCGGGGCGGAGCGAGCAGGCGAGGGAATGACACGGATGTGCGCAGGAAGGAGAAGGAAAACAGGAAGCTGCAGCTGGAGCTGCGCTCCGAGCGGGAAAAACTCAACGGCACCATCATTAAATACCAGAAGGAGATCAATGAGATGCAGGCGGTAAGGCATCTGAAGAAGGAAGTGGGCCATTGAAATTCCCCGAGTTGTTGAAGACACTCTTCTCCCTGACTTATTCCACTCGAGCAATATATTTTTGTAACGTTTTGGTCAAACTTTTACACATTTTTGTGATTGAGGCCTCATCAGTACATTTTTTAGCATAATATCTCACAGTTTCTATTATACACTTTTGATTATATAACTTGAAATTCAGTTACGTTTTTATCACTTCTCTACAGTACCCAGCAGACAGAAATGCGTCTATATAGACGCTAAGCCTTTCCTCTAAGTAGTCTCTTTAAGTTTGGCGTTTCCTGAGTTATATTTGTTTTTGCTGCCTACATGGAACACCCTACTCTTGTGTACGTCAAATATCATCTGTCAGGTCTTTGCCCAGTTCTGATTTTGATCTGAGTCTTCTTGTATTTACTTTACAGTTTATTTGGTGTTTGCTGATCCTCTTAGTTTGGTATCATCTGCAAACTGGACTAGTCCTTAAGTTTTGTGCTATATGTAGAGACAGCGCTCATTATTACTGTCCTCTTATTAGGTATAATGTCAAGGTCTTTTTCTTTGCCTGTCTGAGTATTGACAGTGTTTACATTTAAACACTGTGTTGTGTTTCTATATGTGCCTCTGCTGTTTCTGGTCAGCACATTTCACAGTCATTTTAATGAGCAGCCCTGGGCATTTCCCTATCATAGATTGTCTCAAACAAACATTTCTACCACAAGGTCTTTCCAGTATTTATTCTTTATGCATGGGATTTTCTCCAGCTCAAGCTGTCTTGTTACTTAATTTATGTAGATGTGCAGTTCTTCACTTAGTTTTGCTGAAATTAAAGTTTAATTGTGTCAATTTTGTGCACAGAAATGTATATATAATATTCTGACAGATATTTTCATTTTGTTTTTTGTTTTTACAGCAAATAGCAGATGAGAGCCAGGTGCGCATTGAGCTGCAAATGGCTCTGGACAGCAAGGACAGTGATATCGAGCAGCTCCGCTCCCTGCTGAACTCCATGAATGTTCACGGTTTAGACTCGGCAAGCATTGGCAGTGGGCCGGATTTCGACTCCGATGAATCCTACCCCGGTAAAAGACCTCTTTCATCTCCCGAAAACAGCACACACAGCGCTTCCCCATACAGTACACTTGGAGCTTCTTCCCTGGTTGTGTGTGACACTTGGTGCAGATGTTTCTTTTTGTTTATTTCTGCAGTGGTGCTTAAGATATTTGTGGTTTCTCTGTCGTCGCTGTTCCAGTTAGCAGGGTGACTTTCAAAGCTTTTCGCTTTGCTGCAAGACATTTCTGCTAAATTCAGAATAACCCCTGCTAGTTTTTCCAAAACAGTTTAAATTGCTAAAACTTTTTCTTATTTGCCCTCCCCCTGTATAGGCTTGCCATTTTAAATGTTTACAGTTACTTCCAGAAAATGCGGCGCAAGCTTCCAGCACCAACAATAATAAAACCATTGTCTAACTATAAATTGGTTCAAGTTTCTTTTCTAGAAAATGTGGAATTGAGTTTTGCACAATTGTTAAGTATTTGCTCCTGGAGTTTTGCTACTTCCTGTTTCTCTCTGCCTTGTTTTATAGTTTCTTTGTTCATATTAGGCCTCCTCACATCTCTGGTTCCTGACCCGTTCACTGTTCCCTTCTTTTGTCTTCCTTTCCTTGCTGCCAACCTGTAGTTCGCATCACTCATTCCCACACCTCGGAGTCCATGTCTTTCACCTACAAACGCACCTCTGCTTCTGTCAGCATTGACACTAAGCCTTCCCGGTCCCAAATGCTTTTTGACTCTGATTCTGACATAGAGGAAGATCCTGAACCCGAGGCTCTTACATATGTTCCATCAGAACCTGAGATAACAGGTGACCCGCATGGAGCACCAGAGCTGCACATGGCTTCCAGTTTCCCAGAAGGCCTTTCTGCTTTCCACACTAATGCTCTCACGGGTTGTGTGTTCAGTCTGCATTAACAGCGTGTGACAAGGAAATGCTGTGAAGGGAATCCACCTGCAGTGGTTGCATGGCGGTCACTGGCCTTAGGGTTTACCATAGCCCTGTGACATCAGAGGGGAATTAAATGTAGCTACAGACCATAAATTAAATGGTATATGAAGATATTTTTGGTCTAGTATTGCAGCACTTTTTTTCTCTTAATTAAAAAAAATATGTCTTAGAAAACAGCTACTTTTCCTACAGGTTGAATTTAGAAATTCTCCAAATGTTCTCCAAATTTCTAATGACTTTTCTGAGAACAAATCTGAAAGTGAAGTGCTTGTAGTTTAGATATTCTGTAAGAAATGAGTTACGAGCTGGTGTTATTCCAGGGAACTCAGTTAAATTCCTTCAAATGTATTTTTTTATGTGGTTGTATGTGTGCTGAAGTGGCTATGATGTATATATTGATGCAAATGCATGTGAGATGAAACTTGAGACATGGTGTGTTTTCGGTTTGTAGCACCTTTAGATGCTACAATCACGTGCCAGCATTTGTACGCTTCCCTGTGCTTTATTTGCAAAATATTACTTATGCTATTACTGTTATCCCTTAGGAAATGTAGAAATTCTCTGTATAAAAAATATTTTACTCATTTTATCTTTCCTCCTGTTGCTCTAATTGAAATTAAGAAGATTGTGATTAACAGGTGAAATATTTGTCATTGACATTGTTGTAATTTTAATCAACATTGTTTTTAGTTGTAAAACAGAATAGTGGATAATGCTAAAAAGTATGTTTTTGTAGTCGAATTTTTATTTTTAATTGTTTCACAAGTTCGTGGTCAGATTTTTTTTACACCGTAGTTATTTTAATGTCCAGCAGTCCAAACACAAAAGCATTTCCTGAGTGGTAATGATTAAAGCACTTTGGGTTACAAAAGGTAGGAGGGTATGAAGATGTGTCCATGGTTGTGTATAAGGTCACAAGATTAGAGGACTCCTTTTACCCTCTGACCTTTAAGAAAATCTCGCCTGCTTTAAAAAGAAACAAGTGTTTGAATACAATATGTTTGTTTGGCTGGGTTGCAGTGCTTTCTTTGCTTAATGCTTTCCACTGTTTATACTTTGGAAACATTGTAGCTGTTGTCTTGTACCATTGCCATCACATGTGCCAGTGTGTTAAACTTGAGGATAATTCACAACAAAAAATAACTTTTTCTCCCCCCCTGTACTGTAGACACAACGAGGCTAGAAGGCTGGCTCTCGTTACCAGTGAGGAACAACACCAAGAGATTTGGATGGGAGAAAAAGGTACATGGAATCAACTTGAGCTTACGTCAGAGATACCAACAAGTCGGAGTTGTTGCAGTGGCTGACTTTCCGTTTTGTTTTCTAAAACAGTATGTTGTTGTGAGCAGTAAGAAGATCCTCTTCTACAACAATGAGCAGGACAAAGAGCAGTCGAACCCTTATATGGTATTAGATATCGAGTGAGTACCATCCATATTTCCTGTCATATGTCTTCAAATTCACTTCCTTCTTTAAATGACCGAATGGTTTCCGAGTTACAATTTTAATGATGCCGCATGCAAGATTCTGATATTTCATCTTGAAAAAAAGATGCAATTTAAACCATTTTATTTTCAGCAAACTTTTCCATGTCCGACCTGTGACCCAGACAGATGTATACCGAGCAGATGCCAAAGAGATTCCAAGGATATTCCAGGTTAGCTGAATTGGCAACTATCATTTTGAGAATATGGGAATGTAACATGAAGTGACAAGACTTAGATATCTGGATATGGAGGTTTAATTGATGAAATTACTCTTAAGTCATGAGTTTTTTACAGGCATCATTCTGTGAATTTGTCCGTTTTCTGTGATATAATGCCTGTAATGTTCTGATAATATGATAAGTAATACTGACAAGCTTTTGCTGTTTCCCGTGCTGACATTAAAGAGCCATTATGAATTGAAAGACCTGACAAGTTCTGTAAAAAGGAAGCCTAACAGTACTGTTACAACAGATCATTTTTATTGCCTGTTGTATTGCCTGTGTCTGTATGTCTTTGATATACGTGTCCACTAATGTTTCACTAATGGTACCAACAGAAAAGTGTTAGGAAAGGATAAATATGTGCTGTTTTAATCAACTATTGCCTTTTCTTGCATTTTAGATCCTGTATGCAAATGAGGGGGAGAGCAAGAAAGATCAGGAATTCCCCGTGGAGCCCTTGCCTATAGGAGAAAAGTCAAGTTACATCTGCCACAAAGGCCACGAGTTCATCCCCACCCTCTATCACTTCCCTACCAACTGCGAGGCTTGCACGAAGCCCCTGTGGAACATGTTCAAGCCGCCCCCTGCTCTGGAGTGCCGCCGCTGCCACATCAAGTGTCACAAGGATCACATGGACAAAAAGGAGGAGGTCATTGCACCTTGCAGAGGTACGCGTGTGAAGGGGGCGTGTGAATTGGTCTGCACTCCCGATGCAGTGATGCTATTCTTTGTTGCTTCAGGGCATCCTGTTTAAACCACTTTTTAAAACACGTTTAAAGAAAAAGTGCTGTTAAATAGGAAGGTGCCATAAAAATACATAAATAAACACGTAATAGGTTTATTCCATGCTGAAAAGAGAAGAGAGAAAACACAACGTTTCGGCTGTGGAGCCTGAAGAACATTGTGATTTCTCTCTTCTCTTTTCAGCATGGAATAGTCCTATTACTTGTTCTTTTGCAGACTATGCATGCCAACACAGCTACCCGCCTGAACCATATAAATACATATGCTATTTATTCTGTATGTAACAATCAGGGCTTAGGCTATGTAGTGTGGTTCCAAGCTTGTGTTTGAAATGTGGATACAGCTTGTCTCGTTGTGAGGGCAGTTACTGTAAAGTGGGGCTGCAGTTAACACAGGTTTCCAGACGCATTGCAATTTGCATTTTTCCATGTGCTCAATAGAATACTTGATCAGTGTGAATTTCTGAAGATGCTCAGGTCTGTATGTTATCAACACTGTGGACACTCTGGGCTGGTGCCGTGGTTGCAGCGTTGAGCTAGCTTGAATTGCAGTTGCAAATTCAGGTTTTTAAAAAAATATAAGTGGGGGGGGGAAATGAACCGGCCCTTAAGAATTCCGTTCAGTTAAGATATTTTGAATTTTTGGTTTATGTGCCGTTTACACGTTTTGCTTATTGCCGCGCTTTAACGTTTCCTGTTCTCCTGTTTGCAGTGAACTACGACGTCTCCACAGCGAAGAATCTGCTGCTGTTGGCCAACTCGCAAGAGGAACAGCAGAAGTGGGTCAGCCGGCTGGTGAAGAAGATTCCAAAGAAGCCGCCCGCGCCAGACCACTTCTCCAGGTCTTCACCCCGAGCTTCCATGAAGGTACAGCCAAACCAGTCCATCCGGCGGCCCAGCCGGCAGCTTCCCCCGAACAAACCAAGGTAACGTTTGGCGTTCTGTCTTTTTTTAACCCTTCCAGTCTGGTTTCAGGCAATTACACAGAACTTCCTTAACGATCTTTCTCACACACATACACCCAACGGGAGTCAAGGGTTTTCTTATTGTCTCCCCCTGAAAAAAGTTAATCATTGCATAACAGTTTTTTTTCTTGTTTATTTTCATTTTTGCACGCTGTGGAGCTCACAAGCTCCACGTTATCACTGGTGTTAGAGTTATATGACTGGTGCATCGGCTGCCTAGATGCATTTCCATTTCAGTATCAGTTCATTTTTAGACTGAAGGCACAGCATCTGGATCCAACCAAGAGCACTGCTGTGTTCGTGGTGATCATTAGTGTGGGGGGTAACGGTAAACCTTCTAATGATTCCACTAAGACTAAAATATATCTTATTTTACAAATGTGCCCTGTTCTGTTTTTCTTTCATACTGAAGCGTAACATTTATTTGCAGTAGGCACATTAAAATAAATCCATGATCATTTTTGTTTGTGCAATTTTATCCAGGCCTTCAAAGCATAAATGTAACGATTGTCCATAAAAAAATGTTACGGTTGCCACTGAGTTGGACGTATCAATAAAATATTTTAAAACCTAATTAGAAAAAGCGGTTTATATTTCAGTCCTTTATTATCCCATGGAATGCGCCACTTTTAGTGTATTAATCTGTTTGTTTTTTTAATTAGAAAGAAAAGCTCTAATAATAATAGTAAAACATCTGTTTTGTAACTTGCTAACCTAATACACCGGTTAAATGTTGCATGTCATTTTCAAAATTCTCATGTCTCTGGTGTACATTTTAGCCACATACTGAATTAACAAACTAATGATAATATAAACGTCAAATCATAATATTAACATGATTTTCTTTGTCTGTACATCTGAAAAAATGCCTTTTCTCATTTAAATTTCCTGATAATAGCTGGTCACTGTTTCTGTATGTCTTCCCAGGGATTCACCTAATTATATTACCATCAATCATTGCTAAAGCCCAATTTCTTTTTGCCCTACTACATTACCTGCCTCATCCCACCTTTGCAAAACTTACTCTCCTGTCTTGATACTTTTCTGTATCTGGGGTTTCTGACATCACTCCTAAATGGTTCAACTTGACTATTTTAGTCATCGCTGATGCGTTTCTCTTGGGGGTTTTACTTATAAAGTTGTGTTCTTAAAGTCTGGTGTTCAATCCTGGCTTGCCTTTTGACCTTTATGTGCAAAATATTGCAAAAACATAATTCTTCCATCACCAGACTGCATATCATGTTAACTTTGACTGTAACAGAAAAGCCGGTCAACACATTTGTCTTTTCTAGAATTGATTTCAGTAACGTCTTTCACACTGGACAAAGTACATTTTGTTCAGAATTCGGCAGGCAGAATACTGACCAGGTCACATGCAACTGATCACATTACACTTCTGTTAGAATCCATGCACTGGCCTCTTATTGGATTTTGAGTCAGCTTTAAAATCCTCAGCCTCACCTACTGTATAAGGCTTTACAAGGCCTGTCACCTCAGTACCTCTGTCTACTTCCTTCCTCACAACCTTTGTTTGTCTGACTCTGGTCTTCTAGATGTCCCTCAAGCTCCTTTTCACTTTATGGGTGACAGGGCCTTCTCTTGCAACGCCCCAGAGCTCTGGAATTCCACCCGTAGGGAAATCAGAGAATCACCATCTTTTCAGAAAGGCTTTTAGTAATTAGTGCCTGTGTCTGCTCCACTTTCTAACATCTGCACCTGTAACTTCTTGTCATATATATAATAATTATTGTTGTTTTTGTTGTATTGGTTATGGAATAATTCAAAAACTACCTGTCACTTAGGAACTTTTTTGAACAATTTGAACTGTTTTAGGATATATTTATGTGTTTCTAACTTTGGATATTAAGTACCATTTGTACGGCATTGCTAATTATTAATTTGTTTATGTCCATTAAAAAAAGGTATAGCATTATCAATCACAACCAAATGTAAAAGTGTAACTATCTAAAGTAGGAGTTGCACCTACTATTGGATTTGCTCTTACATAAGGAGAATTAAATTTGATCTGAGGATCTCATCCAGCCATTTCTTAAAGGAAGCCATTGTACTGACTTCAACAGCGTGGCTGTTTACTTTTTCACTCTCCCACAACCCATTGGGTAAAGAAGTGCCTCCTGTTCTCAGTTTTAAACTTGTGTCCTCTGTTTTGTGTTTCTCTGTTCAGTTTGTAGACATCCACTAGGTTGACTTTGTCAGTGCCCTTTCGGATTATGAATACCTGTATACCAGGTTCCCTTGTAATCTTATGTGTTTAAGACTTGAATGTTTTGGTTCCTTCAGCCCTAAATGTAGTACATTCCCTTATCCCAGCTTCATCTAATTATATTGGTTATGATCGCCAATATAACTACTTGCTGTATTATTTTATGTCTTGCTTTAATGTACGAATATATCGGATTGATCATTTTCTTGCTTCACCTTTACAGTGTAAGTAGCTTCTAAAAAAATATATGTAAGGAGACGGAGAGGGAGTGTATTGGTGTATTGTCAAGAATGTCAGTTTGAGCAGGTTGTGTCTCAGTTTTCTAGTTCCCATTTGCATATTTCCCAGTTTTGGCTTTATTTAGGGTGGTCACATAGTGTGGAAAATAATAAAGAAAGAGAAACATAAGATTAATAAGATATGGCCCAAATATAAAATTAAATAACTAAAGAATTGGGGCTTATTGTGTTTTAGTAACAACTTCATATTAACATAAACATCTTCTGACAGCAGTGTTCCAACATTTCCCCTGAATGGGTTAACACGGGACCTAACTACATTTTCAAATTTTTTTTGTTGCTAACTGTTTTAGCACTGGCCCCATGCTTCGAATCATTCTTCACTGATCTCTTATAAATGTTTTGCTCATACAAACAGTAAGTAATAGGGTGTTTCCATTTCTGCTTCATAATATTGGCATGTAGGCATTACTAATAGTATTTTTACTTTTTCACATGATGCACTGCATTTCACTAAACCTGTTATTACTTGGAATCAAAACTGTGCTGCATGTCATACTAATTCATTGCTAATTTTGTTTTTCACATGCCAGAAATGTATTTTATCCCTTTGTTTTTTCCTCAAGATAACTGACCTAGTGTAAAAATTAGGTTTTTGTGAGATTTGGGCAGTTTATGCGAGTGAAAATCGAGTGAAATCTTTTGAGAATTTGTGTCTGCGCTACCAAATTTGAGAACAGTTGTATTTTCTTCAGAGCTCTCAGATAACGCTTCCTGTTACAGATTGCTTGATTTGGCCCTTAAAGACTGGGATTGGTCATTTGACGATGTTGATGATGATGATGTGTTTGATTTCTGAAGAAATTAGAAGGGGTAACAGAGCTGCCTTGCTGGTGAAGTTGCAGTGATTTGAGATGCATGCTGTTCTCTGAACCGTGCAGGTGTGCCTGGATATGGAAGAGAAACAGTTCAGGTTTGCTTTTGTGTCAGATATCTGTTTTGTTCATTCAGTTGGATTTAATTTCAAAATATATTTAAAACTTACAGAGAATTAAAATTAAAAAATAAAATTCATTACAACTATAAATTATACTGAACTCACGTAGAGACACTGATCACTTCCAGGCACAACTGTACTTCTTCCTTTGTTATGGAAAGCTTTATTATTACTCAATTGTATTTTTGAAGTTATCTTAAATTTTCTTTCTCTTCAGCAATTAACCACGAGCTTTCTGGCTTTCCATTGTCCTATCTCTTACTCTCATTTCTTTTTCAACTGTGTGACCTTAATTGGAAAGCAAACAAGCCTTGTGTACCTGCTGCTTTGTTTTGAACAGTGTGAAAGTTGCTTCTTCAGTGCGTACTTGCACAAGGCTATGGTTTTATTAACCTGCAGGCTCCAGCAAGTTTAGTTCCTTTTATAGTCGTTCTAGAAAACATGCCTACCTGTACAAACACCAATAGCTTATAGAAACCTGTTGTGAACTAACTTAGGCCTTAATTAAACTTGCTAAAGCTTGCCAAGAAAAGGAATGTGCCACAAGCATTAACTGGTTTCTGTCTTAACTGGATAAGACAGACTTGTATGACATTCAAGTTGTGCTTCTGAGTGGCTTTTAAAAACCTTGCAGTGATTCCTAGGCGTTCAACATTTCCCGGTGTTAAAAGGTTTGAGTCACTTACGGTAAGTACAAAGTCAGTTAAAGATGATGTGTACACAACTCTCAAGATCCTGCTAGCCTGAGCCTTTTTGCTAATTAAGTGTTTGCAGATCTTAAATAAGGCTACGTTTCTAAGGGTCAGGCAGTAATGATTGGACCGTGGCAGTCCACTGTGTTGAGCTGCCATGGTCCAAAGGCATTAAACTGTAGGTCTGTGTTAAATCTCTATTGACACAGTGTTTTATGCTCATCACAGCCCTCCCAGGCCGGAACCTCCACGGATTAAAAGGGAAGAATCCAGCAGTGGAGACTGATTTTTTTTTTCTATTAAGCAAATTAATGTTCTGTATTTTGTCTCCATTTTAAATGTAGTTTTACAATAAAACATGCAATAGAGAGGACTGTGTAGGTTCTTGTGGTGTGTACTTGCAGATGCATGATAGATGCAATGTTAAGTGCATGTGAAAGAGAAGTTCATGTGCCATTTGTCTGTGAATCCCTTTTTGCAGTAATCTGTGTGAGAAGCATGCTAGGAGTTTTAGAGTAGTATAAAGTCTGTTTTTTGGAGGAGATGCGGGTTTTGCACGTGCCGTACAATGAGATATAGGTAAAGATCACAGAAAACAGTGGATTATAGTAGAAGCAAAATATTAAAGGGTGAAGTAGATCCTGAAATAATTTCAGTTATCTTGCATCCCTTTTCACAGCAGAGCTGAGATTTTAAATAAACTATGATGTGCACCATTTTCCCTATTTGATTTCATTTTTGAGATATTCCTTATTAGGCCTTTAATCTGTAGTGGAGATTAATATATAGACACACCATAGTACCACATACTGTACATGCTTTAAATATACAATTCTTGGCATAGGGTTTTTCTTTTTTCATAAACACTTTGGATTAGCAGAGTGTGATAGAAATGTTAGAAGTAATGACCTGCAGTGTACAGATCCAGGAAATGCACAGTTATAGATGAGACTTAAACAACAGACTTCAAAAATGGTTTTATATTCAACAGATGAAAATTTTAGGTGGCATGAGTGTTTGAGTAGAATTTTTCAGCACCCTAAAACTAACTCGCCATTCTCTCTTGTTTTTTCAGCTAACTCCTTTTTTAATGGAAAACGGTCACTCTTCAAGGTGATGGGTTTCTTCCTTACAAAAAAGACTGAAATCTTACTTGACATATCCCAAATGCACACTAGTATATATAACGTCTTTAGAAAGACATCTTTCTACTGTGGTTTACAGCACTATTCTACAATATAGAAAACTAATCTTCAAGCAAGTGGGTATGGTCTTCGGCCAGGTAACTGGGTCTCTGGTCTGTATGGGTGCTTTTCCTTTGTCTCCATCCTTTATCTGCACAAGTCTTGGGAAATGTATTGCACAGGATGAATGGTTTGGTGACTGTCGAAAAGAACATGCTTTGTTTCAGTCATGTTTTTTTCCCCATGACCAGACCCTCACAAAAGAGTTTCAGGCATGAACTGCAATAGCAGGGATCTGCAGTAGCCATTTCAGAGTGCTTAATCAGACTGGGGAGAACGCAGCAGAATGCCACATCTTCACGCCTTTGGATATACAGTTATCTGCCTTGACTCCACTACATAAAGAGGGAAAAACATAGGCAACAAAACTGTTTCAATAACTTTTTTCCCCACCCAAGAAGTGCAGCTATTCACTCATAAAACCACAGTGGTCTATATGCAGGTTATATGGTATGCATTCAAAACTAGCCATCTGAAGCTGCACGTGAATATTTAGCAGCTTTGATTGTCAGGACATTACCCCATTAGGTTAACTTTGTGAGATCTTGGTTGAAGTTCACTTGTGTAATGCCTTAAACTGTACTTAAAGTGCTTGCCCATTCCCAAACAGTGATGTGTACTTGCAGTACTATCAGATAATTGGTGTGAAGTGGAGTTTGTGCACTATTTATATGCATCACTATTACATCGCTGTATTCCTATCTTTGAATGTATACCTGAATAACGGTTTTTAAGAGGATTGGAAATACTACAAAGAGCAATGTAAGAAGGAAAATGTACATTTTATATCTAAATTATAATATAAAGGAGTGACCTTATTGCCCAACAGAATCCATTGAATGCTATTGTGTATTGTCTTTATATTGCCCTCACTAAGTGCTGGTATTTTGTATCTGCCTTCCGTGTATTCTAGAATGTTATTTTATTATTCTTGAGAAAAAGAACATTTTGTGACTTTTTACTAAACCTTCACAGCACATTTATATAAAATTCACGAACCCTAAAATATTTAATTATAACATACTGTAGATGCATTTTAAGTGTTTTTTTTCTTGTATAGACTTATCTTTACCTATTCTAGTGATAGCTCTACAGAAGTGTGCTGTGAGGACATCCATATCCGTCAAAAACAGGCTTCAGAAATGGCACGCGATTCTATATATATTCTTTTACATGCCATCTTACGTAATGTATAATTTATATTGGCCTGTCCACTTTATATTTAAGAATGTTATGTTGGAAGTGCATGTTTTATACAGCCACCGTATGCTCAAGACAATGTAAACATATTTGACAATAAAACTGTAGCCTTCTGCTTTTGTCTGTTTTCATTTGCAGTTTCTCTTGCATTAGCTTATATAAAACACTGCAGTTCTGGATTTAAAGGTTTTCAAAGTGAAAAACAGGAATTTCTCTCAAGTTCTACAATGTGTTTCTGGAAGTTAAGTCATATGAAACTGCTCCTATAAAGCGATCCTGCAAGATGTGTTTACGGCGTTCTAAGCCTGTTTATACTGTGGATATCGCAGTGCTGAGAACATCATGGGACTGCTGGCGCACAATGCCTGTAGTACATCACTCAGTGGTAGATGAAATGGGTTTATCTTATAGGTAAATGCACTATTGAATTCTATGGGCGGAAAGGACTAATCCTACTACTTGGGTAAATTTGTATGTACTGTATACATAGCAATGGGAATGTTACAAACCCATTCCCATGCAAACACTCACCCACTTCAAATATATACAGTGCCTTGCGAAAGTATTCGGCCCCCTTGAACTTTTCAACCTTTTGCCACATTTCAGGCTTCAAACATAAAGATATAATTTTTTTATTTTATGTGAAGAATCACCAACAAGTGGGACACAATTGTGAAGTGGAACGAAATCTATTGGATTTTTGAAACTTTTTTAACTAATAAAAAAATGAAAAGTGGGGCGTGCAAAATTATTCGGCCCCCTTGCGTTAATACTTTGTAGAGCCACCTTTTGCTGCGATTACAGCTGCAAGTCGCTTGGGGTATGTCTCTATCAGTTTTGCACATCGAGAGACTGAAATTCTTGCCCATTCTTCCTTGCAAAACAGCTCGAGCTCAGTGAGGTTGGATGGAGAGCGTTTGTGAACAGCAGTTTTCAGCTCTTTCCACAGATTCTCGATTGGATTCAGGTCTGGACTTTGACTTGGCCATTCAAACACCTGGATACGTTTATTTGTGAACCATTCCTTTGTAGATTTTGCTGTATGTTTGGGATCATTGTCTTGTTGGAAGATAAATCTCCGTCCCAGTTTCAGGTCTTTTGCAGACTCCAACAGGTTTTCATCCAGAATGGTCCTGTATTTGGCTGCATCCATCTTCCCCTCAATTTTAACCATCTTCCCTGTCCCTGCTGAAGAAAAGCAGGCCCAAACCATGATGCTGCCACCACGTTTGACAGTGGGGATGGTGTGTTGAGGGTGATGAGCTGTGTTGCTTTTACGCCAAACATATCGTTTTGCATTGTGGCCAAAAAGTTCGATTTTGGTTTCATCTGACCAGAGCACCTTCTTCCACATGTTTGGGGTGTCTCCCAGGTGGCTTGTGGCAAACTTTAGACGAGACTTTTTATGGATATCTTTGAGAAATGGCTTTCTTCTTGCCACTCTTCCATAAAGGCCAGATTTGTGCAGTGTAAGACTGATTGTTGTCCTATGGACAGACTCTCCCACCTCAGCTGTAGTTCTCTGCAGTTCATCCAGAGTGAAAATGGGCCTCTTGGCTGCATCTCTGATCAGTCTTCTCCTTGTCTGAGCTGAAAGTTTAGAGGGACGGCCAGGTCTTGGTAGATTTGCAGTGGTCTGATACTCCTTCCATTTCAAGATGATCGCTTGCACAGTGCTCCTTGGGATGTTTGAAGCTTGGGAAATCTTTTTGTATCCAAATCCGGCTTTAAACTTCTCCACAACAGTATTACGGACCTGCCTGGTGTGTTCCTTGGTCTTCATGATGCTCTCTGCGCTTTCAACAGAACCTTGAGACTATCACAGAGCAGGTGCATTTATACAGAGACTTGATTACACACAGGTGGATTCTATTTATCACCATCAGTCATTTAGGACAACATTGGATCATTCAGAGATCCTCGCTGAACTTCTGGAGTGAGTTTGCTGCACTGAAAGTAAAGGGGCCGAATAATTTTGCACGCCCCACTTTTCATTTTTTTATTAGTTAAAAAAGTTTCAAAAATCCAATAGATTTCGTTCCACTTCACAATTGTGTCCCACTTGTTGGTGATTCTTCACATAAAATAAAAATTTTATATCTTTGTTTGAAGCCTGAAATGTGGCAAAAGGTTGAAAAGTTCAAGGGGGCCGAATACTTTCGCAAGGCACTGTAGGTTCTGCTGGCACAGAGGAATGGGGGATTGGTGGGGGGAACGTGTTAGTCTCATGGCAATCTTAGGTGCTTGCAATCAGAAAAACATGATTGGAAAGAACTGCTAACATTTCAAAACCTTATGGGACGTGCCTCTTCAGTTCCATGCACCACCTTCTGCTCCCAGGGCCCAGATACTCTAATTTCCAGGGGGGTTGCTAATATTTTGATCAATAAGTGTGCATCTATCACATATTCTTGATGAGTACTCCACATCAACATGTCTACATATTTCCCTTAGGAAATGGCCATAGATCAGCCTTTATTACAACCGTTGGAAGAATACTGTTCAGCTAACTTGGTGGACCCTGTTTAGCAGGCACAACGTATTATATGTACTATACATCAGGGACTGCATGGAGAAAAGTTGTGTTCATGTGCATTCATTTCTGTGTAATAAAAATATCGTTGTAACCAAATGACTCTTTTTTTTATTCAGTGGCAATTCAGGTGTCCAATTAGTATTACAGAACCATGACAACATTTCTTTGTGATGCCAAAATTCAATACAGCATAATCTCAGATGTTAAAAAATACATTTTACTGGCAAATACCATTGTTGGCTAACATTTCAGGACTAGTTTTCATATAAAAAAACAATACAAATCTGTAAAATCATCCCTCAATATCTGATATACAGAAAGCTTGTGCTAGGTCTTATCTGTGGCTTTGAACACTTAACATGTTAAAATTGTGCTACCAATTGGACTCACAGAGCCATTCTCTTCTGTGCAACAATGAATAAAGATATTCAATGAGAGTTAAAATGTTAAATACAAAACTGAGTTACATTAAAGACAGTAAAAAAAATCATTGCAGTTGACAACCTGTGGAAGTGTAAGAAAATATTTACTACACATAATACCGTAGTCCTGAGTCAGAGAAGGCAGAAACTGGACTTCAGGAACCAGACACCCGGGAGTGGAAAGAATGCATTTATTCCTAAATCTCTTTAGAAAAAGGGTTAAAGGGGGGGAAAAGCCAGAAGGTCACTACCTTTGTGGATGAGATCAGTAGTCCCAACAGGCAAGAGTGCAACCCATTTATGCTGGGTATGAGGGAGTCCTGGCTGGTACTTTTTCTGGGACAATTCAACAAGGGTCAAGGTTAGGATGTGCTCCTTTGAGCTCATGTCCAGTATTTGGCAAGATTGGTAGATTGAACTGTTGTCAGTTGTAATGTCCTAATGTTCAGGCTCAATGTAGGGTAGTGCGAGATATGTCATGATTATGCAACACAGGGAGTTCTAAACTGGCTCTAGCACTATACTGGCACTATATAAAGAAGTTGGATTCTTAACCCCTTTGCTATAGGAACCCTAAATTGTTTTAGGTGCAAAAGAGTAGTGTAATGATCTCTGTAATAAAATAGTTGAATGTGATTACAGACTAAATAAACCATTCTAAACTCTAGGTTTGATATTGAACTTTAAGAACCAGCACCCTGCATAACATGGCAAATGAATCATGAAGACTTAATGAGTTTTCAAAAGAAATAGGGATAAAGTGGTACAGAACATCAGCAGAAGGTTACAGGAAAAGTGAAAGTGAAATGCATGTGATATGACCCAGCCACTACTCTCATGAGGCCGCACTTCCAATCAGAGCAGAGGGGCAAGCAGGAAACTAGATAGGGATGGAACTGTGAACCCAATACTGCCTTTAAAAGATTGCAGTGTTCCGTATCCGAGATGGGAGTCGGTGTTCATTCATCGACTCCTTACAGAAAGCCTGTCTGCATGGGTGATGGTCCAGAAACAAGCCATTACTAAAACGAAAAGAGAATGAACCCAAGATGTCACTGGTTCAAATGGCGGCGGCTCAATCGACCCAAAATGCCGCACAATAGCTCAATCCTTTGGGCCAGCCTTGTATATGCACGTTGGCAGTGAGATCAGTAAGAGGTATGACACTGCTCCAGGTTTTACCTCTCCTGTAAGGCGCGGTGAAGCCTGCAGCATTGTCATGAGAGGTGAGTTGGAGGTGCTCAAAAAAATACATGATTACAGTCCTTATAAACTGTTCTGTCATACAGAATGTACTACAGTCTTACTGAAAGGTACTGGACAGTAGATAAGTGGCTGGTTACCCCACAGAAGAACTGTTTTATAAAGATCCAAACCAAGTTTTAATTCTTGAAGAAGTCACTCAGTCCATCTTCTTTCCAGATCTTCTATAGTACAGTACAGTTCCTGTAACCCAGCCATTCAGACCTGCCATCACTATAAAACGCACAAGAACTGTGGAAAGAAAGAGATTGGCTTAAAGATATAGGCTTTGTATCCTTATGTCCTACACGCTTGAATTTGTTTCAAATGTTTTACTAGTAACTGCCTTTATAGAAACACGGCCTTGAAACCACATTTTAAATTTCCCAACAGGATGTACTTCTCTCACTACTGTGTCCTCATGCACTTTATTTCATTTTTCATGGCATCATTCACTTTGGAATAAATTTAGACAACTTACCTTGAGCATCTCCTGTTGTCATTACTGTGGTAAAAATCCTTGCTGGAAAAAAAAGATGGCTGATGTTAACAAACAACATTTAAAGCATATAAGTTCTAACTATTCTGTGAAACTGACAATGCCTGTGAAAAACTGTATTTCTTGCAACAAAATGCAGTACATCCCTAACTATATAATGCTTCACTGAACACAAGCCAATAAATCTATCTGATCTTCCATTAAGTAACTGTATGGGCATACTATACTGTTCCAGTGTACTTACTGAGGCAGGTGTAGGTGGCCAAACCCCAGGTCAGTGCACTCACTTGCCCAGAGTCTCTGGAAACCCACAAACACTGGAGCTGTGCAATTTTACTGGCAGCACTAATAAAGGTACATAGGCTCTAAAAAATGAACACAGAACACAACATCCATTAATGAAGCTGCTCATGTCACAGGATGTCATTATGAACAAGTATTAGTTGATACTGTACTGATATGTTTTTCTACATGCGCTACTTCATTCTTACGTACAGTATGAGTGTTATGATTGAGAAGTTAATTAAATTTATGACAGTGAAAGTATTTTTCCTGCAAGTCTTCAAAAGGCTTCTTATGACCCTTATTCTTTAAAACAATTAGTTAACCAGAAGAATAAAGTACCAAAATCTTTTGACTCATCTCAGTCAGCCCTGCAGTTCTGAAAAGAGAATTTAAGCAAATGCAACATTACCATGGCCACGTCTATTATCCACTTCTGGAGTGTGAGAAGATGCCATCCCCCAACAAACCTGTACAATTTCCAGCTAAGGTCCAATATTATTCTTAAAAATGTAAAAGACACAACACTGAAAATGTCATCACTTACAACAGCATCAGGTTATATAAACACCAAGATGGTAAAATATACCATCGGACATTATGGTACAGTATATCAGAATGCTTTATTCATTTTTGGCATTTTAATGCCTTCCTGTGTTGAATAAAATGAAGTAATAATAATAATTGCTTACACTTATATAGC